GTTACCTCAGAAATTAGGTTATGTCCATTTTGAACTCATTAAAAAATACAGAAATCTGAACACAGTATTTCTTATAATTTTGTTTCTCAGACTATTGGCATATCTGATTTTGCTAGTATATTTTATCCATTCTAAAGAGAAATTCTGATTGATTTACAAACATGTTAATTAATCTCCAGTCTAATGAACTCTCTAAAGACGAAATAGGAAGATGTTTCATAATCCCTCTATGTCTGGGGATCTTCTAAAAACTCCAGAACTAGACTAAAGTAGTTTTACAAAATTTTTAGTTAGTAAGTTCAGATGCTCAGGAGATCAAAATCAAAACTTCAGAATCACTGGAGTAATACATTTACAACGCACTATATATAGTATATATATATACAGGGCCCTTGCCCGAGACAAAAACACCCCTCGGACCATCAACCTAATCAGGAACTCCCGCCGTTACAACCGCATTCCTTTGGTGCTTCCCTACCACCCTAACAGACTTCCTATCCCCAGGACTATTAACGACAACTTTTCCATCCTACAGGATGATCCCTCCATTGGGGCCTTCTTTTCTGACCACCCCGTCATCTCATATCGCTGATCACCTAATCTGCGCAACCTTCTTGTTCACAGCTCCCTTGACCGCCCTCAGCAACCATCCACACCAGGCACTTTCCCTTGCAACAGAGCTCGCTGTATCACCTGCAAGTACACATCCAACACCACACTCATTCAAGGCCCCTCAGGACAATTCCGCATCACCCAGAGGGCATCTTGTACCTCCAGCAACCTTATTTACTGTATCTCTTGCAGTAAATGCCCAGCCATCTACATTGGAGAAACAGGAAGGAGACTCGGAAACCGCTTCAGAGAACACGTCAGGGCTGTGAAGATTAAAGATCTCTCCAAGCCCATTGTTTCTCATTTCACCTCTGACGGCCACGACCACTCTAATCTCTCCATCTGTGTTCTCAAAGATGGTTTTCCGAACTCATACATCAGAAAGACTACCGAAACCAAATTTATCCTGCAGCTAGGATCACACATTCCCCCTTCTCTTAACGACAGACTACTCTTCTTTTAAATTTTCTTCATTCATTGGTAGTTTCATTTCACACTCTCTTTCTGTCCCCTGCTCCCGCCTCTCACTCCTCCTCCCTCCCAACCTTTGTTCTCCCGCTACTTTACCTTTGCCTACTGCCTTGTCTCTCTCACACCTGAAGAAGGCTCCACGGCTGAAACGTTGTTTTTTTCTTTCTTCCTTTTTTTCAGCATGGAATAAACCTATTACTTGTTCCTTTGCAGCCTACGCATGCTGATGCAGACACCCACCTGAACCCGTATATATAGAATATACTGCACAAAGATTCAACATTATGAAAGCTTTGCATTTAGACTGTTATTGCTTAGAAAAGGGTCCATGTCTGCATTTAGTCAAAAGATTATCTGATATCTAAAATTAGATGTGATGAACCTAAAGGCCATTATCTCAACAAACAACCCTTTTATGTATATCTCATTTCTTTCGATGTGATGTCAGCATTAATACCCAGACAAAGACACTCTTTTTAGTCAATGCTGCAAGTACCATGACATTACAAACAAAAAAATGCACAAAAACTTGCCACCTGACAGTATTTCAAGCCAAGTCACAAGGGAAAAGACAACAAAACATCTAATTATGCTGGCACTGTTCATGCTAATAATAGACCTGCTAAATCTAGAGGGCTCACAGGACTTCAACAGTCTCTTCACTTGACAGCTCTAGCTTTGTGTGTGGTAAAGGTAATGGGCAGTGATTTAAAACTCCTTCTCATCTAGAAATTTCTATAAATACTGCAGATGCACCAAATAATTAATTCATTACCACCTTCTCAACACTAAAAGCAGGAAATGAATGAAATAATGAAAATTTCAAACCGTGAGCTTTATTCAAAGGCTTGTTCTTATATTAAAAAATACAGAAGGATATAATATATTTAGCTCACACTACTTATATTCTAAACCTTTAAATTACTGTCATTTAAAGATAACAGAACTGCAACTATATTCTCTATTCTTAGAGCAGACAAAAACTATAAGATTAATAAAGTAGCCATAATTCTCCCAATTGTGATTAATGGTTTGTGTGATGGTCATTCATGGTTGAATGACTATTTTAAACACAGTTAAGTCCCTTTTTAATCATAGGCTAATACAAGTTAGTCACAGGATGCTTCCACTATGAATCCTTAATACTCAAGAAAGCACTGCAAACTGCAAAGGTTAATACAGCTACAGCTTCATCATTCAGGAAATTAAAGTATGGGCAGGAACCAAAGTGAACAGCCAGTTCACTTAGTATGTATGATGAAGTATCTTTAGTCCATTCAATTGCTAGCCATCCTTTCTCAAATGTAATTTAGTTTGTCTCCTAGTAACAGAAGTGTTTCTAGCTTAACTAAAACACAGGCTGTTCCATGCCATCAAATTTATGAGATAATACAGCAACTACAGTATACCCATATCTGAGGTATCAATCTGTACAAACCTTTCCTGATAAAAATCTAGAGCAATCATGAGAGCAATTGTGCCTCCTGCACAACACTGAAGATCTTCTCCATGCTGTTTGGGCGTTTCATCATGCAGGCTCACCATTCTTGGTGTGATCTGTGAGGGTGGATAGCAGTTGATGTAAACATTTTACTGAATGTAACAGGAATGTCCAACTAACCACAAAAACAAACTTGTTTTTCTATTCAAGGCTGCTTATAGATTAAATGCCTCTATCTTGCATAAATAATGGGCGGAGCGGTGGCACTGGGGCTAAGGATCTGTGCCTGTGGCAGGAAGGTTGCCAGTTCATATCCTGCGGCCGAGAGATGCCCTCAAACTCCTTCATCAATGAAAGCTGAAGGTACTCCATGTAGCCTGTTTGTTTTTCCAGGATATAATTTGTAACAGAAAATATCAGAACATCACATCAAATCATCATCTATATTGTTTTCAGTGACTTGCTCCTGTTACCTTTGACTTGTCTCTATTGCTCTGAAAAGACTATAGTCTATTTCTAGTAGCGAGTCATCTTCTCAAGGATTGTTCCTTAGGTTGTTTGGACTTCCAGCATTGCCAGAAGGGCCCTGTCTTTGCCCAACATTGCTTTATTGGCTTATACCCCCTTTTACTTCATCTCACATCTGCTAGAAAGGAGAATAATGATGATAGCCCAGGGAAAAGATGAAACAGGTGGGATGTCATTGAGGGCTGTTTAACTTCTCTTAACCCTCCTATTATGACTTGGGAAGGGGGTGGGGGTGTCAGTTTTTCAGGGTATATAGAACATAGCAAATAAGCAATGGTTTCCTGTCCTTCTCCACCAGCCCAACCAATTCATCTGATACACCTTTTATTTCACAGGGCTTTTAGTTTATATTTTAATTAATTCATTTCACATTCTATGCGAAAGCTCCAAGTATACCACATACTCACAGAATAGACAACTAGTTGAATGCCACTATACACTGACGTGAAAAAGAAAGTAGACCTTCTTAAGATTCTATGGGTTTACAAAAAGACATACATGACCTTCACCTAGACCTCACCAAGTCCTAACAGTAGATAAATCTATTGTTACTTATTATTCAAAATAAATCATTATTAAACAAAAAACATTGATCATCAGGAAGTGCTTCCATCACGAAGTGAGAAAGATCAAAGTCACAGGAGTGGGCGCCCCAGCAAATTCACCCCTAGGTCAGACCTAGAGATCACAAAAAACTTGAAAGCTACATCCAGAGATCTACAAGCAACAGTAGATCAATACGGTAAACAGTAGAGTACAGTACATGGTACTATGAATAGAAAAAAACTGAACAAGAATAGCTTTTGTGGAAGAGGAGAAAGGAGATCTCCTTGTCTCCAAAAAGAACATCACTGCACAGCTTAGGTTTGCAAAACAACACCTGAATGAACCATGAGGCTTCTGGAACGATGAGATGAGATCACAGTGGAGTTATATGGCCATAGTAGAAAACCAAACACTGCGCATCACCACAAGAACCTCATACCAACTGTCCAGCATGGTGGTAGAGGGATGATGATGTGGGCTGCTTTGCAGCCGCAGGACCTAGACACCTCACAATCATTGAGACCACCATGAATTCCTCTTTAGAGCAGTGCATTCTAGAGGAAAATGTGAGAACATCTGTCCAAAAGATGAAAGTAGATCATGCAACAGAAAAAAAGATCCAAATCACACCAAGAATTCTATGAATGAATTGCAGAAAAAGAAAAGAATCAGGATTCTGGGATGGCCAAATCAAAATCTAGATCTCAATTCCATTGAGATGATGTGGCGGAACCTAAAGAGAGGTATGCATAAGCAAATTCCCTCAAACATCACCAAGCTTAAGCAATTTTTTAAGGAGTGGGTCAGAATTCTTCCCAGGCGAAGTGAGAGAATGACAAACTTTTACAGGAAATGCTTACTTTAAGTTAATTGCTGATAAAGGGGGTTCCACATGTTACTGAATCATGGGATACTTTTACTTTTTCATACAATCCTACTGAATGTTGGCAAATTTTTTCATTTAATAATGAAAAAGTAAAATTTACAGTATGTGCGTTATCCCGTACATAAAGTTACCTTTATCTACTATAAGGACTTGTTTAGGACGGTCAGATATGTCTTAATATGTAAAACCATATCGTAAGGGGGCATACTTTCTTTTTCACATTACTGTATGCAACACTACCGGGATATCACAGTCTATTTCTTGCCTGGCTTGATAGATAGGGAATCAGTAGACTCCTCTTTGTTCCTGTGAGATGGAGAAAACTACACAGCCCTTGAGAACTGCCCAATCCATAGACTCAGTGGAGGACTACACATCCTCAACACAGCTGGGACACAACACAGGGACTTACACATGTAAGGCTTCTTGACATGATGTTGAATATGACAGGCTCAATAATCCCTGCCACACACAAAGTTTCATGTTGCACCCACTAGATGAAGGAGAGCCAATACACTATTTAATCAGCATCTTCTATTCTCTGAAATATGACAGACACACAAAAATGCCTGTGTCTTAACTATCAGACATTTTTTGAAGGAGCTAATTGGTCCGTTGTACATTAAAAGCAAGAAGCCAGTAGATCACAGTAAAACATTGTGTTCTTTCCTTTATGAGAATGATGTTTAACTCCTGCTTACATTGTTTCTTCCTTTGCTGCACTGGGCTGAATTAATAGCTCTAGGAACATGGTCATGTACAGTATGCAACCACATCACCTATGTCCAAATGTGCTTAGCACAATGTGATATGTCCAAAAGGGACAGTACCTGGATCTTTAGATAGTTAGGTATTCCAGTACATAAATGCCATTGAGCAGTGTCAAAATAAATGCCCTAAAAGCAACAATCTAAAATTTCTGGTAATTTCCAACTGAAGACAGGCTTGTTTTATTTTAATTAGGAAAGAGAATTTAAAAAGCAGGGGAAAGAATGACATCACTAACATAAAGCAGCTCAGTCTGAGCTCTAAAAAACTACTCTTCCTGCAGGTTAGTGCAGCTGCCATTCACATTCAAAAGAACAGGAACATCTTATTTAAAATAAACATCCAATTACATAGGCAGTCAGAAATAGTTGCTTCTTTTGTCTGGTCAGGGAGTTAATTTCTTTCAGCTCACTGTCAAACAGTAGAGTTTCCCCTCTAAGAATAAAAAAACACACACACACATTCTTATGATAGTGGTACCGAGATATTTTTCCCTCATATGGGTCAGTTGACACATTGAGAGTTTTGGGGAACAGTTCTTTACATTACTTGTCTCTCCATGAATCCAGGAATCACATGCTTAATGGCTTAGACCCTCCCCTTAAAGAAAAACATTTGATATATACCTCCATGCACATTAAGTAATTTTTAATAATTCCTAATCAATTACTTAAAGAATTTTAAGAAATGTTGAGTAATATCAGGGCAAGTGCTGACTTGAACTGGTGATGTCTAGTCTGGACTATAGTACTCAAGCTATGCTACAAAAAGGCCCTCTATTGGCTGTTGTATTCAGAAGCCCAGCTTTACTTGCTTGTGTCTGCCCTGCGATGGACTGGCTGTTCTGTGCCCATCAACTGTGACCCTGAATTGGAAGTAGTGGTTAGAAAATGGATGGACGGAATATCTGCAGATAATGTTTTGCATGTGTAAGCTCAATAAATGCCATTCATTTACTAAGTCATTCAAAAATGCAAATGGAGTTCTTAATTCATTCTTTCCGAAAGAAGTTTAACTAGGTGGCTTTTCTAAATAATAGGACAACACTATTATTATGGGTTATGTGCTACTAATGTCAAGGTGGAAAGATCACATACAACAGATGATTCCTGGGTGCTCATTCATCAAAAAGCAACCACCAGCTGAGATATTCTGGCTGTTTGCTAAAGCACAATGAAATATCTTCAGTAAGAAGTTTTTAATTAGCACTAATGCAGTGATGGTGCTGATATTGTTTTTCAGATCAGTCAATGCCCATCAACACTTCCATCTCTTAGTAATGCACAATGAGGAACTTCCTAAAAATAAGAACACATAAAATACAGAAATTGTTGCATTCACAAAACAAACATGCAGCAAGATCCATTTCAAAGGACAATTTGTGCAGTCATGAATAGATAATTTCAAGGAGAGGATATGCATTAGTGGTCAAGGCAGTCATTCGGATGCTTTGAAATACTTTGTGTAGAGCTCTAATTATGGTTTTGAAATTCCATGCAGCAGCTTGCATCACATGAATTGTAGAATTCAAGAATGCGTTGTTGAGCTGTGTACTCTTTATCACGGCTACTGGCTAGGGCTCCTCGTCATCAGTTTTCCCTTTGTCACTGTGGGTAGCTGGTGCTTGGCCCAAGTCTGTTTTGGGTTTCTTTGACGCTGCCTCAGTGTTGAGGAGATGGCTGCAGTCCTGAACAGACTGGGCAATCTCATCAATGGTCCACCTCTCTTCCCGAAGCACGTGCTCCTCCAGCAGGAAAGGACCCTGCTTGGTTCGGACCAGCTCCTTCACATGGGCACACGAGGAGAGCTCTGCAAAGAGATATTCAGAAGCTGTTTCGCTCCAATGCCAAAGAGGTGAGTCATTTGATGACAGGCAATGGACATCATGCAGCTCCCCTGTCACAGCACCTCCACACAAAGAGGCCACTTTGGGAGGTGTGCGTTCAGTATTCCTGTAACACTTAGCGGTCAAAATAAACAGAAGCTTCACACAGCTGATGGCTTTTCTTTTAAAATAAATATCAAGGAATAAAATTGACCCTGATGATCACATAGCCATTTTTATTTTACAGACATTTTGGAGGTTTCTCCACACACTCAAGGACACTATGACAGATTACATATTATGGCAATAATTTGCCAAATACGGTACATAAAAGACAACTAAAAATTAAGAAAAATTAAGAAGGACTGGCAGGGCCACAGTTCTGGCACTGTCTAGCCAACAACGGAGAAGCATTACAGATCGGTAAAGCGGTAAATTCATAAGTACTTTAGGTAAACAAACTTTAGAAGGAATAAAAACCTACCTTTGCCAAGATCATCCACCAAGCTCCTCACGTAAAACCCACCACCACATTCAACATCTGCAATAAAAACATTTCCATGTTTTACTGCCTAAATTGCATTTAATTACATACACTGGCAACCAAAATAGCTGTTAAGCCACAACTGACTTAATAAAATATTCATACTCATAAATCATGCATTATTCATGTCCTTGTGTTCTTTTAACAAAATTCCTATGGTTTACAGTCCCGATAAAATACCAAATTTGAAATTAAGCAGATAATTAAGCCAATCTGAATCCTAACGTTATATAAAATAAACACACTTGAAAAAAAGATAAGTGGTCTAAAAAGTACCCCCCCCACCACTGCAATAAAGTTATCACAGGCTGTAAGTTGGATTTATTCAGCAATAAACAAAATACTTACTAAATAACTGGTAGACAAAATGACATTTTAATAATGAGAATAGCAAGCCAGATGGTAATGAAAGTGAGAAGAAATTCAATAGGCTACACATTATTATGAAATGTGAAGGTAGCATGTCTGAGAAGTGATACTGATTTGCCTGAGCTGATCAATTACTTGCAATCTGAAGCATTACATGCAAAACAAGCACGACAGGTTAATATCAAGAATACACAATGAGTCACATATTTAATTTCACAATTGATCAACAAAGATCCAAAAGTCTGTAATGGTAGAAAAAAAGATTGTGAGTATAAGGCACTGGACCTTTCCATCACACGGTCCTCACAACTGGTGAGTATGAAGCATATAGGTATGGAGTGTCACAGTATCGCAGGATTTCAAACCAGCTCAACTCTTACATATGAATTACTGTTTTAAATGGAACAGTTTAGGAGTTCTTCCAAGGCCTTAAGGTAGTGCTGATAACAGTGGACCTGCAGAAGTGATCACAATGTAATTATGATCACATAAGCTATTCATGTATTAACAAAAATCTTCAGCCCCCAAAGACCATTGTTCTTAAATTTACTAAATGGAAAAATCACTTGCTTATTTAACAAGTAACATAAAACCTATTCCAATTCATTAGTGATAGCTAATTTAGGTTTAACTATACTGCCTATTGGATTCAATCGATTCAGGACCACGTTTTGAGACACCTAGTCTATACCTAGCAATATCCATCTATCCAACTGCTTCATCTAATTCAGGATGGGGGAGGGGGCGGGGTCTATCCCAGTGACCAATGGGCAAAAGGCAGGGTACACCCCGGATGTGAAGCCAGTCCATCACAGGGCAGCCACAGCCAGAGCGACACACACTCTCACCAGGGCCAATTAACCGATCAGCATGTCTTTGGACTATGGAAAGAAACCTAAGCACCCAGAAACCATCACAAACACAGGGAAAACGTACAATCTCTATGAAGATAGCACCCCAGGTCCAAAATTGAACCCAGGGCCTCAATGTCTCTAGGCAGCAATGGTGACTACTGCCCATCATGCTGCCCATCTAGTCATATACTTAATTTTACTTACTTGTAATTGTACTTAATTTTAGAAGTTTATCAAAACAGGGGGCAAGCATCAGAGTCATGGATAACAAAATCTTTGTGAAAAGTTTGAATGCTTTTTTTGAACATTAAAAACATTTTTTTAAGGAAAAAAACATTAAGAACATTTTTTAACATTAATTGCAAACTGAACACATTTCAATCTTACTTTGGGTAGGACTCATATTGTATACTGGTACATATAAAGAAAATGCTGTACTGATGTTAAAATACAAGTAGGCAATTTGAATACAGAGTGCAATTAAGGTGAGCAAATGAACAGCAAATTAAGGTGAAAATGTCTCTGGATTATTTTAATGGCACAAGGCACACTGTGAAAGAAATTCATATGAGCAATTATTTCTCTAGAGTAAGGATTTCCATTAAAATACAGGGCATGAAACCACCCTGCCATTCCAATCTTTAAGTCAGACATCCAATTATCTCCTTCCACATTCAAGCTAAGCTGGTTAAATACAATGATATTTAAACAATAAAAACAATTATTTCCACAAAATTCTTTATTAATGAACCTCAATGTCTGTCAAAGTCTATCTTTCCAATAATAACACCTATTTTAATAAACTCACAACATAATGCTATTAGAAATAGACCTCTTTTTAACCATTTTGAGAGCCAATTGGCAACTATAAATACAAAATACAAGTTTTAGGATTCAATTTTCAAATGAGAGAACATCCATTTATTTCTTGCACATTCTTTCTGTAAGTAAAATCTAAAAGACATCTGACCATGATCTACCGGAATACCTGCCACTTTAAGACCGATTTAGAAATGAGAGCAGATTAATGTTTTAAAACTAGGAGGTACATGAGGCACTGTACATTAGCCACAGCATTAAAATATTTGTCATAACTGTTGTTGAAGGAATTTTTACACTTTTGGTTATTCAAACCACTGTCTGTCTGGTTTGACACTGGACAATGCATTGATATATTTTAACTCAAAAAAACATCTCCCCAAAACTAAAACAGAGGAAGCATCTGAAATTTTACAACCAACCAAAAGCATCCAGAAAGACATTGTAAGACTACAGGAAATATTTTGCGGTATGTGTCAAAAATAGAGAAACAAAAGACTGCTGGTGATTTCTGTGTTTAAAAGGAATGTCAGAGGCAGTTCTTTGCCATCTTTTAAAGTAGTGTCTCAAAGGCTTCAAGAAGACAGACCAAATAAAGAAACTAGTCTGTCTACCAGGGGACTATGATGCTGTGGTTCTTTAAACTAAATCTGGTCATGTTACACTTTCTTTATTTTGCACCCAGAATTGTTAACCAGACATGAAGAACCATAACAATATCTGAGCTCAGAAAATTCAGAAAAGAACCAAAAACTCCATGTGGACCACTGCATACAACCCACTCAATGTAATTTCCCCTTTGATTTTTTTTAAGTTTCCCCTAAAAAAATTACCTAGTTTATTTTCTGTGGAGATGGCAGCTTACCAAATGGAAAAAAACACAGTTTTGCTCAAATTCGAGGATGTTACATAAATAAACTTAAACATTAAGACAAGCTGGATGTACACTCTCTTTGTTCCAAATTTTTCAATTAAATCCTATCAGTGTTGAAGGAAACCCTCAAAAACCCTCTTACATGAAATAAGCCTAAAATATTTAAATCAATAAACTTATGAAGGGAGCAGTTTTATTTTACACATGAGGTATGATAAAACTCAAGATTCTTGCTTTACTTGTGGGGGTGTCTCCCCATTCCTTGTATATGAATGAAGCTACTGTAGGAACAAAGAAAAAGCGTAATTTTTCTTTGTTTCCAAAGTGACCAAAGAGCATCCAGAATGCAACCGCTGCCACTACTACATGGAAATAAATGTCTCCACCTACCGAGAGTGAAGAAAGGTGGGCTAAAGTCCTGCAGCGAGAGGCTGTAAACTGTCACAGGCCTGGCAGGCTTCGCCTCCACGTCATAGCCTTTCTTCAGCAGGACAGACAGCCTTTGTCCGTCTTTCTTCAGTGCAGAGTATCTAAGTGGAAGAGAACAATGGTAATATTTAATTAGTTGTTCTTTCAAACCTGTATAAAAATTGTGATATAACTAGTTAATAATAATAATTACTTACGCTTATATAGCGCTTTTCTGGACACTCCACTCAAAGCGCTTTACAGGTAATGGGGACTCCCCTCCACCACCAATGGTTACATTGAATTACATTGAATTTAATACATTGAAGAGTAAAGAAGCCAGGTATCCCATAAAATTACTTTTAACAGCAAAATGTGAAAATGCTGCACATCTATTATAAAACACAGTATATAGTTCATACTGTACAAAGGCAAACTGAACTAGAATCAGGAAACAATTTTAAAATGACAGCCTTGTTAACAAGCCTTTATGAGCCATATCAAACTATTACTTAACACTTGACCTTCTATGTAAATATGTATGTATATTGTTGTTCCTGTCATTTCTTTATCTTCTGTCCATCTGTACACCAACACTGCTGCTGTAAAAACAACTAGTCCCCCTCCGGGGATAATAAAGACACTCTCTCTCTCAAATCCCTCAGGAAGTATGAGTTAGAAGAAGGGATAGAGAGCACATGAGTTCTCTACTCCTGGATAAGATGCCTGTCCTTTACAGTTTCACATTAACAGAGGCCAGAACTGAACTCAAGAGCAGGAGTTATGAAGCAGAAACATTGTCCACCACACCACTGTGCTGCACCAGTTACAATTGATAAATAATTAATATAGATTCACCCCAAATATAAAATGTATACATTTGATATTATCTTTCATATATAATGAATTTTACTATTCACAATTATCTTTAAACATATGGGAAAGCATGATGGTGTGTTGGCAAGCACTGCTTGGGTTTGATTCTAGACTAAGGCACCTTCTGTGTGGTGTTTGCATGTTCTCTCCATGTTTGTAGGCTTGCTGCCTCTCCAATTGAAAATCAGAAGCTACCTTTTTTGTGCACAGTTTTTGTAAAAGTTTTATTTTGTTTTGCAGGATTTTTTTCCTATATGAAAAGAATAAGCTATTTTTACAAATCAAGAAAGCTGACTTTAAGTCTAAGCATCACCCATTAAGCATTCATCTCATAAAAATAGCCTTTTAGTGTCTAAACCATGTAATTTCCATGAAAAACGTGATGCACTGACCACTCTGTGAAGGCCTAAAATGCTATAACCTGAGGGTTTCACATTGACCTTTCATAAATCTCACATCGGGTTAGAATCAAAACGACAGATGATCTATTGTACTGCTCGATTTATACTTCAATAACAACAACTTACAGTGGAGGAACTTGCATTATGTTTCCAGTAAACTTCTTCAGTTTTGCTTCAAAGTCCTCCTTTGTGATGTGTTCTGAAGACAGAGAAAAGTATTTTCAGTACTAAAGTATTGTGACACATAAGATGGCCATAAAGTGAAGTTTTGAAAGTATTACAGCATTGTATAACAGCCATATGCTCCAAAATATGAGCTAAGTGCCACACCGCCAATCTCAGAAATCATCCTTTCAGTGTAGGCAAAAAAAGATGCTTGCTGGATAAGTATTTATGTAATACTAAGGAATTCTGATTTATAATGCACTTCAAAGTGTCCACAAGTGCCTCAAACCAAGAGTGTGTGACGATACAAAGAAAGCTCAAGGACGTGAACAATGCAAAGCAAAAGCAGTTTTTCAAATGAGATATTCAGTTTGGTAAAGCTTATGCTTGTTTTTTGTTTTGAAATACATTTCCCCTTTAACTATTTCCTTACTTCTCAAAATGGCCTAACAATTCTTTAGTGCTTAAATTACTGGTGTCCATGAATTTGTCAATAAATCATACTTCTCTGTACCCTGGAACATCATTATTAGCAAATGTCGATCTACAACATCTTAAGACCATTTTGTACAGCATGATAGCATACACCCTTCATCTTCAATGCTGACAGCTCTCCATTCTAAAAGAGTTATTTTGGGTTTGCATAGCAACGTCTAGCAAACACTTCCCAAGTGCTGTTTATTTGCCAAGAAATACCTAAAACACTTTAAGCTTTTTTCAAAGACATAACAAATGTGTGTTTATTATTATAGCATATTCCAAAATTGATATCTTGGGAAAATCCTGTGATTTCTAAAAAGAAATCAAGGGTGGGCAGAACAGTATCTTTATGAATGTGATTATTTTCCTGCTCCAAACACTTTTTTTGGTATTATAAAAGAGAGACTCTCCTGGAACGTTTACACTACCTCTGACAGCTTTCCTTTCTGCTTAAAATGTGCCATACACACATTTCTGGCACATCAGTGGATGAGTACAGTGATTAGCATCACTCTGCATCTGAGAGTGCTCTCAAAGATCTCTTTAGACATTCACAAGTCAAGAGCCATTCATGCTGCTTTCTGAATGCAAAGACAAAACTCAAATGACAAAATCATTTGTGTGACATTCCCTTAAAAACCAGTTTGAAAAAGCCATAATTATAAATGACAAAAGGTGGCATTCTGATTATGGTCACTGTTTCGACAGGTTTAAAGAGGCATGAGTAACTAATTTACTCCAATGGAGCAAGTCAAAGCAAACACATGGATCAGGGAGTCACAGGAAGTGGTATTAAGGATATTCTATGCATGTTAACTAATAAACTTTTAGTTACTGCTGATAAAAAAGATTCTTAATGTTCTACAATTCTTGGTTTTCAGCACTATTATTAACCTCCGTGAACACTTCTACAAATTATTACTGTATTCAGGTTTCAGTGTCTCAAGAGCTACAATGAAATAGATGGAAATATCAGCTGAACACTGGGCATCACTGCTGCTCTGTCCTGGATCATCAGGAAGTACACATTAGTGCAGAGCATATGAAGTGGTATCATCAGAAAAATGAAATATAAAGAATCTACAATTTTACTAATATCTTTTGGTGAGATTATGTTATTATACAGCTTTAAACAGATAAAGAAAAGCATACTATTGTCCGTAATTCTTCAGTAAAGTTTTAGCAACTTTTACTGCAAATGTTTTGTTAATCGTTTCTGCCTTGGGAACACTGTATTTCACCGGCCATGTCAATACAGCTCGTTGAATTTTCTAAACAGATGTTCAGAAATGCAGCAAAATTGCAACAATATTTTGCAAAGGAGACATGGGATATAAATATCACATCAAATGACACTTATGTATATAAAAGCAATGGTCTGACATTTGACATTTCAGTTCTTCAGTTACCTACAGCAATGAACAGGTGGCATATATCCATCAATAGGTTACCACTGGATTTCTGGTCTGGTATCCATAGGAGGTAAAACTTATCTGGTTTCTCTTTTGTGTTTTGTGGAAAGTTGATTTAGACATTTTATCCATGTATAGCAATTTTTTTAAATTTTTGGATAACCTAACCATAAGTCATTTCCTTGGTTACAGCTCCAGTGGCATCCAAAGTGTCTGTTGCTTTTCCCAATTCACCGACAGTGGTGTATTTCTGAAAACACAAAATTAAAAAATAATCTTAATTTTTCCCCGCCGCACACACAATATTGTTTTCTTTATACACTACTCTAGATCTGGACATGTGAAGAGCTGCTCATAAAATGCTTAACAACAGGGTTTGCTTTCACACAGGCCTTCAAGCACTTTACAAGTTACAACAACTATAATCTGATTTGAAGCAGTGCCTTTGGAAAAACATTTCAGAAACAAGACTTTTCTCAATTTCCTTCCATAAATTGGATCCACTAAGCTGCCACCTAAAAGTACTTTGTGAAACTGTCAACCAGAATTCTACACCACTTCATACACATAGCCGGAACAGTGGACAACGTAGGGTTTTAGTAAGAGGGAGAGCAACTTTTAAAGCATCTTTTACCAAAAGGAGAAGTGGAAGTGAATATAATATTACTGCTTTTTAAGAGTCACAGATATGTCGAAGTGTGCCATGGGTAAGAGGACACACAATCCATCCGGTGCTTCTTCCAATTCAGGGTTGCTGGGAGCCAGAGCCTATCCCACCACGCAACAGCCACAAGGGAGGTTACGCTCTGGATGGAAACCCAGATCACAGGACACACACAGACGCTGACACACACTCACACCGGGGCCAATTTTCCTACAAGCCAATTAACCTACCAGTATGTCTTTGGACTGTGGGAGGAAACCAGGGAGCCTGGAGGAACCCCATATGAACACGTGGAGAACACACAAACTCTGCTCAGATAGCAACCCATGTCCAGAATTAAACCCAGGGTCATAGGGCTGTAAGGCAGCAATGCTAACTACTGTGGCACCGTGTCACCCCAGGACACATAACATTAAGTCAGTTACACTCGGAGAGTTTATTGTGTACCAGTGGTCATCTCCAATAAGTCATAGAGTTAGAGTTTATCCTATGTCATTAGTAGCAGGTTTTCAGAATGTTTTGCTTAAAATTGTGGTCAAATTGCATTACAAATATTACACCTGAGGAAAAAGAGGAAAAGTCTCACACACCTTAGAACCAGTCAGCATAGTACCAAGCATCTTAGTTCCTTTTCCAATCCCAACCACTGAAACACAATGAAAACCAATTAAAACTCCAGAAACACATACTACCATACTACACACATATATTATACAGGGACAAGTAGAGGTTAATTCCTGAAAAGTAGAAAGAAGAAAAAACAGAAGGTTTCTGCTGTGGAGTCCTGTGTGAGGAAGGGAGAGCGAAAAGCAAGGGACTGGGTAAGACAAACAAAAAGAAAAAGACAAAAGCAGGTGAAAAAGAGTGTCCCATCACATAAAGATCTGGAGAAGAGGTGGGGAATTTAAAATCTGTAAATGAACTTAAGAGGATGAAAAATAAATGTGTCCCTTTAGTTAAGTGCTGGTGGACATTTATGATCAAGAGTAATTTTAGCTGCAAATGTTTTTCTAGTATTTCTAGTTTCCAGTAAGAGTCCTGGAATGGCTGTGAAAGGACAGAAAAGTCAGTGTAATCATACATCTGGGAACTATAGGCTTATAGAAATCCTTGAATCCTCACTGTATGGGCAGAAAGTCTTATTCCATTTCAACTTCTCTGTTTTGCAGGAAGCCTTTAAAAGACTCACCAAACCCACCAATTATCTCAAAACACCAACCATCTTCTAGTCAACAGTTCCCGTAACGATCTACAGCAGCCCCATGCTTGGAGACTTTAACTGCATCACCTGCAAATACTGTATATATCCAGCAGCACACATACTGTAATACATGACCCCCTCCTGCCATTTCAAGACCCAGAGACATCATTGTTATCAATTTATTTTATTAAAACGATTGAAAGAACACTGGCTGACCATCTTGTATTTCATAATGTAGTATAATATACAAAGTCATTTGTACTGCTGATGCTGTTCTTGTTTTTATGAGTGGCAAAAGGTATTTAATGAAATTAAACTATTGCCTAGTGCACACAATCAATTTCTTTCCATTGAAAATGAAGGAATATTAATAATTATGATTATGAATAAGGCAGCATGTTGGCAGAGTGGTTGGCATTTCTGCCTCACAGCCCTGGGTTCTATTCCTGAGGTGCTATATGCATAGAGTTTGTATGCTCTCCCTGTGTTTGTGTGGGTTGTGTGTGAAAATTGGCCCTGGTGTCAATGTGTGCGTTTTTGCGTCTGTGTGTGCCCATGCACCCGCTGCTTGCTGTGACCCTGTATTGAATAATGCAGTTAGGAAACGGATGGAGGATTATAAACAGATTACGAACAAGGCACCATGACCACTACAAGAAATAGGCTTGGGATAGTCTTTGGGATAACAACATAAATATTAACTGTACCGTTACCAAAAGGAAGTGTTTTGTGATTTCAAGCCTTAAAATACTTTAGAAGAGGACATTACTACATACAAGTAGCAACACCATTGATATTAGTCACTATTCTTATAGTATTTACACTTTTAAAATATGACACCTACCAAGCACTCCCGAAGCTGCACTGTCCAGTGTCCCTCCATGCCCAATTTTCACGGTTTGCTTTTTCCTTTTCTTGGCATTGTGATTCAGATTGGCCTCTATACATCAAAACAGTAACAGGAAGCAAATACAGTATTATGCTTTCATCTTATGTAGAAATATTTATTTTTTCGTGGTCATAAATTGATGCATGTAGAACCCTATATTTTGATACTTAAGCCTAAAATGACAAAGTTCCTGTAATCAGAAAATGTATTCTTGCCATAATGTCGTTTAAAAACAAATGTAAGCTCCCCTAAATAACACATTTAGGATATATACTAAGTAACTCTTGCTGTAATGAGTCAGCACAATGCTTAAATTTAAAACACTCACTATCAAATTATTTATTTGAAAAAAGTACAATTATACTAGCCTGACTCTATAAAAAAACTTTTTTTCAGGAACAACTAGCAGTGATGTACAGACAACGCATTCGGTATACAGTATTGCAAAATGCTAGCCCATTTAAAAAAGTTTATTTTGTAATGCTTCAGATTGAGCAAATATAGATTACAGGAACTATATTATTTATTCGATCAGTAGATGACAGAAGGTACCTTGCAAAAGCTTTTCTTTCAGTACATTTAACACATCGGCTGACGTTGGTCCTTGTTTCTTATAAATAGCAAATAATCCATTCAGAGACTGTAGTTTCGCTGCTTTCTGAGCAGTAACGACACTACCAACACTTCCAGCCATGCTTTCTTGTTGTGTCGCAAGTTGGTGATGACACGCTACCATTTGAATGCTGGGAAATGTAGTTTCAAAATACTGCCGCTACTATAGGTTGTTACGACTAAGGAGTTGAAAAAAATGTATCATCAGTACTTACTGTTTCAACACAGTCACGGTTATGTACTCAAAGTAAATTGCGTATATTAAAGTAATATATTCTTCATTTTAAATTATGTAATGATTCAAATCAACTTTAGCCCTATAGAAATCCACTATTATTCTGATCCTTGGCAAAGCTTCCACTAGTCCTCACAGTAATTCTAATATCATCCCACATTTGTTTCTCTAAACCAACAAGGGACTGGCAATTTCTGTCCTTGAAACCTAATGTCCTGTCGGCACTGTTAAAAATAAAATTGCCTGTTCAATAATTTGGAAACACATTGTTTTAATTTTATATTTACCGGATACCATCATATCACCTATGAAATCAGGATAAAATCGGGTCTTCTTAGCTGCTTAGCCCTTATTTTCAAGAGCATGTAGATGTGCTTCAGCGAATTTTGTAGTTTTATTTTCACGTTGTATTGGCTTCTTATTCGAGGATGAAACCACACTCAACTTTCTCTCAAATTATACTTTGACACTCAGGTGAAAAAGAGGGAACAATGCCTTTTACTTATTTGGTGATGTTGATAAACCTTACTAATTTAGCTACTAAACTATTGCAAAATAACATAACTGATTTACATTTTACTGGCATCCCTCCAAAATGTTTCTTCACCAAAACTGACAAAAACAACAATTTCAAGATTGCACAGATGGACTTCTTCTGATGAATCTGTTATCTCCTTCCTTTTCCACAGCAAGACTTCCAGGGCCTTGATCTTCCTTTTTAATTTGCTGTCTGTGTGTTTACAGTAGGGTAGATGCATGAAGTGAAAGGATAATAATGATAATAAAGACAGTTCCCTGAAGGTACAAATGACCATTTCTACATCACTTTTCCTCACAGAGGATTTCAAATCTATTTGTGTTTCCATTATTGAATAATTCCTTGCCTTAACAGGGACAGCATAGCCTAGGGGGTGAGTGTCTGGACTCATAACTAGCAGGTTGTGGGTCTAAGTCCCCTCTGCAGACACTGCTGTTGTACATTGAGCAAGATATTTCACTCACTGCTGTCCTCCCAGTTGTATAAACAATAACCACCATTGCAACAACAGGAAACAGGAACCAGCATTGCATCCCATCAAGTCAGGAGAATCATCTGCTCTCTGTTTGCTTCATGCCTTCATCCAGAAGGTCTTTTCATATACAGTAGAAAGGGACTCCTGAAGTTCAGCTTTCAGCCAGGCGACCCATAGCAGCAACACTACACAGTTACTTTAGCGGAGAAGTTTGAAATTACTTTACCAATTGAAATACACAAGGAATTAAGACCAGACTACTGTGCAAGTCTAAAGTAGAACTTTAGCAAGGACGCCAGGGTTAACACCACTTTACCTGCAGATAGTGTCATGGTATTTTTAATTAACAAGTAGTCGAGAGCTTGGTTTAAAATCTCATCTGAGGGACAGAAGAATGACTGACTGCATTCTGTATTCGTTTTGTACCAGCTGTTGATTGTGGAACAGATTAAGAAGAAGTGAGAAATTAGTGTTCTAGTAGTGTGGAGTAGTGAGGAGCAGTGGTTAGGTGCTTTGGACTTTACTTTGGACAGGTTATAGGCCCAGATCATGGGCAAGGTATTGTTCTTGAATAACATATGTCGTTCAGGATAACACTTTGTGGTAAACGTTTATTATTCTCTAGATTACTATTAAATATTAAATGAGATTTTTTTCTCAATTGACATACCTACCTAAATGTTTATTAGCTGCACTTTAACCTAGAATAAAAGCAGGCACGTTATATTTAGAAAGCCAGCACTATAATTTAGTATACATAATGGGGTAAACAATCCCACTCTTTCAAACAGCGTCATTAGTTATACTTTGGTAAACTTTCTTGATCAAAAGATGGAATCTGTATCTTCTCTGTCTATCCATTTTCTAACTGCTTTATCTACTTTAGGGTCACAGGGGAGCTGGAGCCTATCCTATCCACTAACAGGGACAACGTAAGGTACACATTAGACAGGGCATCAGTCCGTCACAGGGCAGACACAGAGAATTGCACACACTCATGAAGGGCCAATTTTCCCAGGAGCCAATTAACCAAATAGTAGGTTTTTGGGGGAGGAAACCAGAACACCCAGAGGAAACCCACACAAACACAGGTGTACAGGTCTACGTACTATACAGGAGAACACACAAATGCCATGCAGATAGTACTTCAGGTCTGGATTGAACCCAGGGCCTCATCACTGTGAGGCAACAATGCCACTGTGTTAAACAGCTTTTGTGTCGCCAAACTGTACAGTACATTGACATTTCTGATTCAGAGAAGTTAGTGCCACCTACTGGTGGATCAAATTTCACAGCTAACCACAATCTGCTTTTGTAATAACTGGCTTATAAGTGTTGGAAATGACTGAATCATGCTGGTGCCTGGTCAGTGAAATAACCTTTTAAACATCAGGCTTTAAAGCTTGAAGCAATGAGACAAAGGGGAAAAGCCATTGTATTTCACTCACTTAAATTTGATGTAGGGTTTCATGACTGATTCTTCATATCTTTCATAAATGAAAAAAACTCTCTGTAGATTATAGCAATGGGTTGCTATGAACATGGAAAGACCTGAAAAAGAACAGGAGGAGTGGAAGAGTGTTCCCTTAAGCACTTCACTTGTGGGAAGGCTGTCATTTCTTTCAATTCTTATCATGAAAAATGTTTTCTTTGGGCTACTTGCCTGAAATTGTTAAATAGACTAATGACAGACTTTAAAGGATAATTATGTAACATATATACACACTGTTTAAAATAAAAATATATACTATACATGTAGAACATACACTGTAGGATATAAAACCCTGCAAATAAGCACATTAAAAGACAACACAGAGGATATTGTTTTTTTTACTTCTAATTTAGTTGTATTTTGGGTAACAAATTTTGAATAACACCCATGCATAACTTATGAATAAGCACTAAATAAGCAGAAATTGAAGCTGTATAGATTAAAAATTCATTCAAATTCACAGATTTTTTTTTTCTACAGTGCATTTCTTTAGGTTTTTGAAACTGATGTTTGTGAGAAATGACACTCATCTGCAAGGTTTTGACTTGGTACGATCTGAATAATATGCCGTTTCTGCTTATCTTCTTATCTCTCCAATCATTTCATCTACAGTACATGGAATTAAAAAAGAAAGCACACCTTAGGAGGGTTCAAGCCTTACTTTGTGTTAAAGAAGAAAGCTCCTTTTCCGAGCTAAAAATCCAGAACCTTGAATTTCCTAATGAATGATCTCCTCAATAAGAGTGTTGGAAGCTCAAAAGAAAGCCTTGCTTTGCATGTCAGGAGAACTGATCTAAAATAATATGTTGACAGTAACATGGCAAGGCTACGTGTCTGAGACCGGATTCTAACAAGCATTTAATGTCAATCAAGACAACACAAAGTTTAAATGGAACTCATGGTCCCCTGCAACCCTGTATTGGATAATGAGGTTAGAAAATGGAGGGATGGAATAAAAAGAAGAAGAAAAAGGAGAAGAACAGTTACTTGACAGGACTTTGTTGATGAGGACTAAATCCTTTCCAGAACACAAGAAAAACTCGACAGAGATCAGTTTGCTAACTAAACTCTTTCCAGATTGATAGTTTCTCAGGAAGAACTGTGAATAAATCATTTGAAACAGAAAAAACTAATTGTCTAATTAGTTGCAACCCAATCGCACAATGTACCTCAAGAGTACGTGTATCAGCATGTGTGTATTCCTTTCGATTAATTGCATTAGAGTGAATATGAGGTTATATGCTACACAGAAGCTGCCTTGCCATACAAAAATGAGATTGCTTGGTGTTCTTAGGTGTGTTTGAACACTTAGTCTTTGAAATAGATACATCTAGAAACCAAATTCACTTTAATTGGAAGCAGGCTGTGTCATCTCAGCATGAATTGTCAGTATTTCTGCAGTTTAAAATTAGATGATCTATGGGGAAAAAAAAGATGTATGTCTGATCCACTTCCCTTTACATACAGTATGTACCTTAGCTTCCATTTCCATTAATATTCTAGAAGGATTGCAGGAATTTCTTTTTCATTCTACCACAGGTTTTGCCCTTTTCTTCTTTTCATCCTTCCATTATTCTTTTCTGTAATTTCCATAAAATGAAAACACAATCACTTGAAAATAGTTTATAGGAATTATTCGACTATTTCTCAAAGGGAAGGTGTTCATAAAGGTTTATGCATTGAATCTCAACATATTAAATCAAGAAGCAATTCTGTTTCTTATCACTGCTAGTAGGAGAAGTAAATAATACTTAAGTCTCAGTCTCTTGCTGGGATTCTCTAGTAGAATAGTGGAACACATAATAGTCCAACAATCTAAAGTCCCCAACAGATAGAAACAAAAATCAGTTTATGTGCTGCCTTAGTTTTCTTCACTGCACAATTATTTTAAAACCGAATGATACCTTATGAAAAAAACATCTTCAGTTATTCTGAAATGTGATGGAGTGTTGGACTGGCTGCATCCTATATGATTTCAGCTACTGTACCATCAGTTTAAATGTGCATCATATAAAACTCACTTTTAAAATATTTTTCCCTATAAATCCATACATTAGTTTTATAATGTTTTATAATGTAATCTACACTTAAAATCAGTAATTTCTGAAACACTTTATATATTCCACTTTAACATTTTATGCAGTAACGACAGAAGAAAATAATAAATTATTGACTTCTCTTTTAGAAATATGTGAATGTTGTTCTTGGTTCTTAAATTAAAGTATCATTAATCCCCAAGTCTTTTCTATTGATATCAACAAGGTTTTTCTAATTGTAGTGTATGAAACTGCATTAACATGTATTATCTATAAATTGTGCACGTTAGCTACAGTAAGGCTTTCCAAATACTACAGAAGTCTCACAAATTATGCTTGTTCTTTTAAACACTTTTTTAACCTATTATCAATAGGTCCTATACTTTTTAGCAGGGTATGTCCTGTGAGAAAAGCTTAGAACTTTATTTGAATTACAACTTGCACATTTACATAGTACTGTACCTCATGGCTTGTTTCAGTTAAAGCCACCTTAGTAATTCCTAACTATTGTCTTTTTTTAGGTGGCAGTAGGTTTTGTGACTAAGATCCAGGAATATCAACAATGTGTGTCCCTATACAGTGTATCTAAAAAATTGACTAAGAAACCTGTCAGCTAATGCTACCTTGTAAGGAGAAGAATGTGAAATTGAACCTCAATCCCATATAAAACAAATCTGATTTCTATATCTGTGCCCAGTTTATGGCTTATGTGCTTATCTCACCCCTGTTGTGTTAAGTACTGTTATACATCTACCAGATGCTCAGATCAATATAGCTTCTAACCCAAGACAAAATGCAATTCTTACTTTATCAGTTGTACATCTTAAGTCTTAAGTTGAGATATATAACAAAAACCTTTTGGCTACAGAGACCTTCTGCTCATACATCTATAGACTACATACTGTATATTGTAGTTCAGGTGGGTAGCTGCGTCAGTATGCGTAGGCTGCAAAGGAACAAGTAATAGGTTTATTCCATGCTGAAAAAAGGAAGAAAGAGAACACAACGTTTCGGCCGTGGAGCCTTCTTCAGGCGTGAGAGAGACAGGGCAGTAGGCAAAGGTAAAGTAGCGGGAGAACAAAGGTTGGGAGGGAGGAGGAGTGAGAGGCGGGAGCAGGGGACAGAAAGAGAGGCCAATCAAGAGGTGTGAAGTCAGAATGGGTGCAGAGAAAATTTAAAAGAACAGTAGTCTGTCGTTAAGGGAAGGGAGAATGTGTGATCCTAGCTGCAGAATAATTTTAGTTTCGGTGGTCTTTCTGATGTATGGGTTCGGAAAACCGTCTTTGGGAACACAGACGGAGAGATTAGAGTGGTCGTGGCTGTCAGAGGTGAAATGAGAAACAATGGGCTTGGAGAGACCTTTAATCTTCACAGCCCTGACGTGTTCTCTGAAGCGGTCTCCGAGTCTCCTTCCTGTTTCTCCAATGTAGATGGCTGGGCATTTACTGCAAGACATACAATTAATAAGGTTGCTGGAGGTACAAGATGCTGTCTGGGTGATCCGGAATTGTCCTGAGGGGCCTTGAATGAGTGTGGTGGTGGCTGTGTACTTGCAGGTGATACAGCGAGCTCTGTTGCAAGGGAAAGTGCCTGGTGTGGATGGTTGTTGAGGGCGGTCAAGGGAGCTGTGAACAAGGAGGTTACGCAGATTAGGTGGTCGGCGATATGAGATGATAGGGCGATCAGAAAAGAGGGCCCCAATGGAGGGATCATCCTGTAGGATGGAAAAGTTCTGGTTAATGGTCCTGGGGATAGGAAGTGTGTTAGGGTGGTAAGGAAGCACCAAAGGAATGCGGTTGTTACAGCAGGAGTTCCTGATCGGGTTGATGGTCCGGGGGTTGTTTTTGGCTCGGGCAAGGGCCCTGTCAATCACACTGCTGGGGTATCCTCTGTTGATGAAAAATGAGTACATTCTGAGGGCTTGGTTCTCGAAGTTGATGTCGTCGCTGTATAATCGTCGTAACCTAAGGAACTGTGAAAAAAGAAGAGAGTTTTTAGTGTTGTTGGGATGAAATGAGCTGTACAGGAGGTAGTTGTGTGAATCCGTTTGTAATAAACTGAAGTGGACAGTCGGGGGTAGTTGATAGAGAAGTTGATGTCTAGAAACGGAAGAGTAGTGGAAGATATGTTAACCATATATTTGAGGGACAGGTGGAAGTTGGTGAAATGGTGCAGGAAGAACTCAAGCTGATCGTTGGAGCATGTGGCGGTCCACAAACCGGACACCCCTGGACACCCCATCGTATCAGCATGTAACTGTCCAACTACTTACATCTCAGCCTTTCTCAACAGCTTCATGAGACCACTGGTTGAAGATCTTCCCTCATACATCAAAGACACCAACCACGCACTCCAACTTTTTAATGATTTCCAATTTCAGGGTACCGAATGCTACATTTTTACCATGGACATCACATCTCTGTACACTGTCATTCCCCATAATGATGGCCTTACAGCCCTCAAGCACACCCTGGACAAACGCACAGTGCTTGATTCACCCACCCACACCCTGGTACGCCTTGCAGAATTGGTCCTCACACTGAACGCATTCTCTTTCAATAATCTTTTTTACCAACAGGTCAGTGGAGTTGCCATGGGCACCAGAATGGAACCCAGCTATGCCAACATTTTTGTTGGCTGGGTAGAAGAACGCTTCTTCGCTTCCTACACTGGCTATGTCCCTGACCTCTACAAACGATATATTGATGACTGCGTCGGTGCCGCCAGATGCTCCAACGATCAGCTTGAGTTCTTCCTGCACCATTTCCCTCAAATATACGGTTAACATATCTTCCACTACTCTTCCATTTCTAGACATCCACTTGTCTATCAACTACCCCCGACTGTCCACTTCAGTTTATTACAAACCCACGGATTCACACAACTACCTCCTGTACAGCTCATTTCACCCCAACCACACTAAAAACTCTCTTCTTTTTTCACAGTTCCTTAGGTTACGACGATTATGCAGCGACGACATTGACTTCGAGAACCAAGCCCTCGAAATGTACTCATTTTTCATCAACAGAGGATATCCCAGCAGTGTGATTGACAGGGCCCTTGCCCGAGCCAAAAACAACCCCCGGACCATCAACCCGATCAGGAACTCCCGCCGTAACAACCGCATTCCTTTGGTGCTTCCTTACCACCCTTACACACTTCCTATCCCCAGGACCATTAACCAGAACTTTTCCATCCTACAGGATGATCCCTCCATTGGGGCCCTCTTTTCTGATCGCCCTATCATCTCATATTGCCGACCACCTAATCTGCGTAACCTCCTTGTTCACAGCTCCCTTGACCGCCCTCAACAACCATCCACACCAGGCACTTTCCCTTGCAACAGAGCTCGCTGTATCACCTGCAAGTACACAGCCACCACCACACTCATTCAAGGCCCCTCAGGACAATTCCGGATCACCCAGACAGCATCTTGTACCTCCAGCAACCTTATTAATTGTATGTCTTGCAGTAAATGCCCAGCCATCTACATTGGAGAAACAGGAAGGAGACTCGGAGACCGCTTCAGAGAACACGTCAGGGCTGTGAAGATTAAAGATCTCTCCAAGCCCATTGTTTCTCATTTCACCTCTGACGGCCACGACCACTCTAATCTCTCCGTCTGTGTTCCCAAAGACGGTTTTCCGAACCCATACATCAGAAAGACCACCGAAACCAAAATTATTCTGCAGCTAGGATCACACATTCTCCCTTCCCTTAACGACAGACTACTGTTCTTTTAAATTTTCTCCATTCATTGGAAATTTCATTTCACACCTCTCTGCACCCATTCTGACTTCATACCTCTTGATTGGCCTCTCTTTCTGTCCCCTACTCCCGCCTCTCACTCCTCCTCCCTCCCAACCTTTGTTCTCCCGCTACTTTACCTTTGCCTACTGTCCTGTCTCTCTCACACCTGAAGAAGGCTCCACGGCTGAAACGCTGTGTTCTCTTTCATACTGTATATTGATTGACTACATTCTGTCCCAGCTATCTCCCTTGTCAGTTAAAGGAGGATGTGAAATTATACCCCAGGTTGAATAGAAAATAATTACAGCTTGTTTTTTAAAAAATCTGAAATACTGAAAATTCTAGCTCTGTTGCAGCAGCAATGATGATGTTTTTTTATCTTCTAAGCAGAGAGTGTGATTTATTAGCTAGTCATGTATTTGTTTAATCACTTAAATGTTTAATTGTATCTTAAAAACATCTGCAGTGCACCCATTTCTGAAGATTGCTCCAGAGGTCTAACTAGCCTGGGGCCCAGTAACCGATATTAACCTGACAGCTGGTAGTGAGACTTTTAGTTTTTTGGAAGTCAGTGCTGTGTGTAAGAATGTCATGCACAGCACTTGAAGGCGCCACAGCCCAATAGCTACATTAAATTAAAAGCTCAGTTAAAATTGCATCTGTTTCACTTGGCCAGAATTACAAACAAGAGCCTCCTCAAGGAGAAGGTTAAAAACACCATGAGATTTCCTATTTAATTTGTTAAGCAAACACTACATTGAGGTATTCCAGACACTTTTTAACAGTAAGTACACATCTCCCAGTTTAAGTTCCTCCTTATTTAATGCTAAATACATAAATGCACATTAGTTTATTTTTGATTTTTTTGCAAGAAGGGAAAAGCAGGCTTTCAGCTCGTGAGACAAGCCATCAAGTCAAGTCAAAGTGCATTTCTTTAAAATAACATGGGAATTATGTATTGCATTATTCATTTATCCATCTTCCAACCATTTCATCTATAGCAGGGCTACAGGGGAGCCAGAGCCTATCCCAGCAAGCAATGGGCACAAGGCAGGATATACCTTGGACAGGACACCAGTCCATTGCAATGTACATACACACTCGCGCAGTTTTTTGACTGTGGGAGGAAACCAGGGCACCCAGGGAATCAAACAAATGGAGAGCAAACAAACACCATGTAAATAGCACCCCAGGTCCAGACTTAAATCCAAACCCACAGCAATGCAAGGCAGCAACACTATTCACCACACTACTGTGTTGCCTGTATTGCTTTGCATACAGTATACTGTGCATGTATTTTGTAAGCAAATCTGACATTTCTTTGAAACAGAATGCAGTTCCTTCTGGAATTCCTTCTGGAATGCAGTTTTCTCCATGTGTGTGTGAAACAAAGACAGTCTGGAGTAATGTGAGTCAGTATCAAGGACTGTTTTAAAAAATAATAGCAGCAAAGAGCTTGTTTTAAAAACAATCAAAACTCAAACATAAGCGTGTTTTAATTATACAAATAGAGAGCTGGCTTGCTCTTTACAGGGCCGAAGTGACCTTGGGATCAAATCAGGAGAGTGCCTTTGAAAGCCGCAGCCCTATTATTGCAGATAACATTCACCCGTTGCCACGGCTGTTGATGGAGCCCCAGAGACCACAAGGCCTAGAAAAATGCGACCATTTGTATTCAGACACTGACATGCTGCTTCCACTTGTGAAGATGCAATTATCCGTGACTACACAGCTTATCAGACTCTTCATCTTTCTTTCAAATGAGTTTTTTTTCTCCTTCAGGTTAAACAGAAATAAAGCATCTCATAACAACTTGAATATAAAGAATAACCGCAAGTCTGGAGTTCAGCCTCATAAGGCTACTGGCACATTTTAGCCTTCAAAGAAAAACAGAGGCCATTTGCTTGATAAATATAAAGATTAAAATAACAAAAGCCACAATTACTTGAACACAAAGAAGGCAATTTCAATACAAAGTATTCCCTCTCAGTGGATGTGTTTTTTAAATGGGACGATCATTTTCCCCTCGGTTCAGATTCACTGGAGATAGATGGTACACAATTTTCTCATCTGGCTCAGATTAATGTAGGCACATTCATTTTCAGAACCTTTGCAAATTAGTTGCACTTCATCAAAGAGCAATGATGTGTGTCAAAACACATCACAAGCAACTACACAACTGACAAAAGCCAGAGCCAGGATCTTGTATTAACTGCTCATGCAAGCAAACCCTGGTTCATCTTGCAGCTCCAAAGGGAAAAGAAGAACAGCAGGAGCTAAATTACAGATTGTGGTGCTGGGAATACTTATGGCTTGTAAACTAGCACATCGGTTGTATCAGATCTTTTGTGGCTCTTTTACTTACACTGTCTCTTAATAACCCCCATGTCTGCCAGATAATTTTTTTTGGCTAGGTCCACTAGACAACAAGCCAGACATCAGACAACATTTTCATCAGCAGAAAATGAATTGCTTGTGCAGCTGCATGAGGCAGGACATTTAAAAACTATTTTTTTATTTGTTTCATTGCTAGATTGTGCTAGATTTCCCTTTTCCACCATGAAAGAAACAAAAAAAATGGCTAAGGCATGTGTCTGTTATTGCACAGAGGATTACAAATCAGAGGAATCATGTGCTCAGTTCTGCTCCTGAAAAGAACCAAACTTCCACTTAACAGGGATTGGAGATTTGACTGTAGTCTGTATTCTAAAATAGTTTGGATCTTCCTGGAAGGGGGGTAACTCTTGCTGATTAAACTTAAGTGCAGTCTGCTGCACTGCCAAAAGTAAACTTTTTAGTAAAGCCGATATACTGTATGTATTAACTTAGAGGGAACATACTATTAATCTATGATTTGGTACAAGTCATAACTGTTACTTCTGCTTTATAGTTAAACACTTAGCCTTTTGGTGAGATTAAAAGATTAATAAAAAGACAATACAAATGATAAATAGAATATATTACACTTTGTTGGTTATTTTCATGAATATAGTTGATCATATTAGATAATAAAACTCCAGTGTTTAATCCATCAATCAATAAAATGATTTCAAGTGATCATATGGACTGGGACTCATTCACTTTAAGTAAATTTCAGAGCATAGAAGTCAGTATTTGGTAACATATCCCTTGGAAGCAGTAACTGCTTGATGTCTGAACCCACTGTACTTTCCAAAGTCCTTGTGTTAGTATTTGGTACGTCTGGGGATGGATCCCATGGGTTCTTGCCTGTTTTTGGGGTGTGCTTGAATTGTTTCTTTTACATGTGAACTAATGGCAAATCTTTTGTTTCTCCTTATAAACTCCTTGAGTGTACTGGCCACATGTGTGGAGTCATTGTTGTGCTGCACAGAAGCATCAGCTTGTACATTAGCAGAAACATTGTTCCTTTAAAATTTAATTTTATTAAGCCTCATCAGAAAATCAAGAGTGAGTCAGTTCCAGAGGCGGCCAGGCAAACCCAAGCCACGACAATGGGCTCAAACCCCAGCTGGGATGCTGCTGTGCTGTATACAACAGTACTCTCAAGGCTGTCATTGTAAATGAGGCTTGTTAAATTGGATTATCAGATGAAATATAGTTTTTATATTTGATTAATGTCAAATAACCATTATGTGTACAACACAATAGCATATCAGAGGGCTTAAGTGATGTGCAAATGTGTACATAATTCTACCTTTCATCTCTCAAAAGGATGTGTAATAAATTTAAATTTATTTGGCAGCAATAGGTGTTCTGTGTTAACAGAATACTCATTCACCTCAGGGTGTAGCTATCTTATATTCTTGGGCATGAACTAATAAGGAACTATTTCTGTAGCTCTAAATGATGTTTTTCAAAATGTCTTATTAAACAATTTTAATGAGCACCACTAATGGAGATGGATACCAAAAAGTATTTAAAAAGTTTGGTGTCTAAAGTATTGACACAATGTCAATGTCAAACTATACTTTTTTAAATCAAATTTAGTAGTCACATGTTGCCCTGTGGCTCACTATCCACTTTCCTTGGTCAGAAAACAGTTAAAACAATATTTCAGTGACAAAGCAAACTAAGAAATCAAGAATGCAGTCTTTAATGTATCTGAGGATGATTAATAAAGTGATCATTTACAATGGCAACTGTGTGAAGCAAGCATCGTAAATAACATTGCTTTTCATACATACAAGGGAAAGCACATTATCTATTATTATGGTTTAACATGTCCAGACATAGACATCACAATATAAGGTGCCAATGCAATATTTTACAGTGTGCACAAGGAAGACAAAAGTTTCACAGGAACTTACTAGAAACATAATTTATTATCCAAAATGTGTGGTGAATATTTCAGTTATTGTTCATTATACCTTGCAGTATTTCTGTGACGGTGTGAAGTCGTGTGATGTCCTAACAAAACTGAAATCTATATCAAAATTGTTAAATAGCACATAATTTGAATTGAACAAAACCATTTTCCCGTAAAATGCAGAAAGAGCCAAAAACGCTCAGGGTTCTTATTTGTTGGTGGGACATGTACTGCAATATAAAATTTATAGGAATTCTGGGAAGATTTTAAAAATTAAAAAATTATTCTCCAGTGTTGACTAAAAAAATATCACAGCAGTAAAGTAACTCCCATTTTGCTTATACAAATACATACTGTACTGCAATTCCCTTGCAATATACAAGGGATGGGCATACTTAAATATTTAATTAAACATGTCAACAACTGTTGTTCTATAACTAAATTTGATGGAGAACTAGATTATTATAATTTGCAGTGAATTTTGATTTTTGAAAAATAAATTTTCAACAATAATGTAATGCACAATTGGATGCCTATATATCTGGGAAATCATCCAAAAATACTTTCTGAAGACATTTTAACATACAATTAGTCTCAGGAGACTTAGTTTCCTATTTTTAAAATTGACAAAAACATTTTGGAGCACTACTCAAGTAAGGCATAAGTTATATAAGAATTTCTATTGAACCATGAGCTATACCAAATACACTGCAAAAAGGTTCAGATCAACTTAGGCAAAACACTCCCAGAAAAGTATGCATCTCTTTGTTTAATAAATTAAGCCTTGTGAAATGTGTGTGCATGCATTTACAATACTTTAAATTAGGAAAACTGTCACCACAGGCTTTGCTCCTAATGTTTTTTTTACATATATATACACAAGTCCAGGTTATACATTGCATCTGTTGGTATAAAAGTGCATATGACTTAAAACAAAATTCTGGCTTTAACAATGATGTCACTTCAGTAAGTTGCACCCCTTGCTAAATATTTGGTTTATGAAAAGAATACAGTGTTCTAGAAACAAACACAGAACAATTACATGTTTGGAGTATGAAACACGGTTTAAACAATATGCTGGAATTAATATACATTATTAAAACACATAAGCTTGCATAAATTGCTCAAAGTTAAAAAAAAAACTCTTGCATTCTCATACAGGAAAAAAAATCTCATTCACTGTACACCATATAGTAATCCACATACCCACAAAGAGCAGGTTTAAAACCATTTCTACTACTGGACTCAGTACTGAACTCAAACCAGATAAAAATACATATATTCACAACAAATGGAATGTGCATTTATTCATGTCCGACAACCCCGATTTAAATTATTTTAAATTAAATCACCCATAAATTGAGCGTAGCATGAAGAAAATAATACTATTTTTAACAATTCATGTCTTTAATTTGGTATGGCCAATTGCTTGCTCTGTATACTGTCATGGGAAACTGCAGAATGTAAGGAAATCAGTGTAGCTCACCAATACTAGTATGGGAGACAGGTTCGTGACAACTTAGAACACTCTCCTCTCAACCTGTTAGAAACACCATTTCGACATCCCACAAGTCTGAAGTGCAAAAAAATAAGTTAATACTGGTTGAGGACTTGCTGCAGTACTTTTGCACCACAAGCTTACAGACACCTGACAGCTTACTGTTGTGTGGCAAGCAGAGGTTATCCTGGCTGCCTCATGTCCATCCAACACCAGTCACACTGCCCATAATGCACTGCTGTTCAGAAACCCAGGGTAGTTAGTCACTTATAAACCCAGGAGTCCACATGGCAAAGGCTGTTCTACTGGGGTCCATCTTTGTGTCAAATTAGCACTTTTATGGGATGACCAGTTAAAATTATTTTATGATGCATGTGTTAAAACACTCTTCCTTTTACCAACAGCACAACATCATAATATCTCCTCGAGTCGCAGATGTTTGAATGTCAGAGAAAACGCCATTCTGAACAGTCTTGTCTTTCTGTTAAAAGATTCTGTTAATAAAAACACAGTTGCTGGTAAAATCCATTAAAACAGGTAACAAAGCTAAATTAAAAAACAAACAATATTCAACACGTCTGGTGAAAAATGTAGTAAAGGTAATTCATTCCTGTATTACTGACCATCTTCTCAACAAGCAGAATGTCAGGTGCACCTAAACATTTAAGCTGTATTGGTTTTGTTCAACAAGTGGATATCTGTTCAATCATAAATAAAACATTTTTGTGGTTACCAAAGAAACAAAACACTATGACTGAAACACTTTAATTATGCCCACATCCAAGGCACAAACAATAGAAAGGTTTAATGAAGCACTCAGTCAAAAAAACAAAACAATATCTTCTGTAAAACACTGTTTCACAGCCACATATTTTTAAACCAAAATGAACGGAACAACTAGTTCTTTTACAATTTTCTTTTGCTGTTATGGACTAGGGATAACAAGAATAAAAAGTGCAAACGACTGCAGAAAAATATACTAGACTTAATGTGTATTTTAGTGGTAACTGGGCAACACTGTGAATAAATTTGCAATGCAAACCTAATCATTGTGGTTCCTGTGATTTGAATTTGGATATAGAGAGTACCTACAAGTTCAACCCAAAAATTAAAATTGTGTTCTTCAATAAGTACATTTGTCTCAAGGCACTGCAATCTGTTAATTTAAAGGAAGGCCAGTGTAAACAGGCATTTGTGCTCCAAAATTAATTTTTACTTTAGAAGTTATATCATCTTGATCAGCCTGTATATTTGTTCCTCACATTTTGAGACCATATTGCAACGCGCTCCTATAGTTTTCTTTTCAGGTGGTTTAATAAGCCATTAATTGTACTTGGAGACTCCTAATTTAAATTGCAGGCCAAGGCAGAACCTGACCACAAAAAGAACCTCCTGGATTTAGGATACAAAGGCAGTGTTGTACACTAAGGCATTTTTTGCTTGCAGGTCCTGGATTTATTTTGGAAACATGATTCTAACATGAAACCAGAGACACAACAGTGCTGTCTACTTAGAAATAAAAACACTGAGTTATTTTGCTGCTTGATTTAAAAGCACATGGAGTAAAAACTGTCCATTCACTTGTGAACTCATAGTTTTTTCTATATTAATAAAACAGTTCCCTTCTTTGTCCTGTTAACTTTAAGAGCAATGACTATTCATTGAACTAGATGCAACTGATAAAGCCCACCATTTCCCAGCAAGACCTGATGCTAAAAGTATTTGTTGTGCACTTCCAAAGTCTGAAACCTTTGCAATTAGGTGACCTTGCACTGATGCAAAGTTCAGACTGGATGCCTGTCATGACTTCAAGTGATGAGAGAGGATGGATTTTTGCCTCTGTGGCTACCAATGTCTTCACATCTACTGAGCTCTCACAAAATGTCAGGTTTAGAGTTTGGAACACAAGGCGCACCATGAACTTCTGTTACGGTGTAGTGGAGGCATGAAATTTCACAAACGCTATGGCAGCTAATTCTTTGCAGAACTCCTCCAGCACAATCACTCCTTCCAGTAAAGTCATGTGGTCAATGCTGAAAAAAGGGACAGAAACATAACCCAGTGTTAATCTTTAATGTAAAGAACACCACAAATTACAGAGCTGTACAAATAAAAAAAAATTGTAACTTCAAAGAAGGAAACAAATTACATTCTGTCAATTTTCTAAAAAGGTAACTACAAATTAAGAATTATTCAGAATTGCATAAGTTTGAGCCATCTGTTATTTTTACAGAGAGCCTGTGGCTAGGAGGTCATCCAATGGAGGACTGAAACAGTTGTCATGGATCTTATGCAAGGAACTGGTGTTGCTTTAATTAAGAAGATGTCCAACCAAAAACACCTGCCATTTCATCTCCATTGGATTAAAGAATATTTAATGAGTTAACAGGCAACCCAGTGGGTCCGCTGTTAAGCACTAAGCCGACTCAGGCCCACTCAACTTAGCTGCCTCTGAGCAAGTCTGCTCTTTTGGTCACAGTTGCTTTTGTAAGAGTTACAAACCCAAACTGATTAACTGGTTCATCCAGTCAGAAAACATACTTTAATGTTATTGATAAAATATCTTGGATTGAATTTACCTTGGACCTTCAGGTTCCAAGCCCAGCAATCGTTTTCTGACCAGCAGAAGTTTTGGAGTAAAATCTGGGATGCGTTGAATTCTTAACATAAGATCACCCACCACCTGACAATACAGAACAATATCAAACTGAGTTATGCAAAATTCTTTATATGGAAGATTTATTTTATTCCTGTATTGTGCTATTCAGGTAAAACAGTGACAGATTTTGTGTGCTCTCATTGTTGAGGTGTACGTTATATCTGAAGTGCTTACCCTGACAATGACAGAGAAGAGAGATCTGCAGCATGGAGCCAGGTTGACATATGGGTCTAAGAGGTACTCGTGGATATGAGGGTGGGGAAATAAGGCCAGTTTTGATAACACTGACGTAACTTGTAAATTCACATCGTAGGGCTGAAAGCACAAAAATCCCATGATTAATTAAGAATGGGTTTTATCAAAACATTCCAAGACGATCCCACAACAAATTATATTAATGTAGTGGAAAAAGATTCCCCATTTTAGTCATAAACAAACAGCGACATCCATATAAGGAGATAAAGGCAGAAGTAACACATAATTTAATGTTTAATGGAAGTGCAAAGTCCTACAAACGCCAACAATTTCATTACAAAGCTTAACAAATTAATAAACTACAATTAAAAAGACAAATACAGTTGAATACTAAGAACTTTCCAAAGCACTCGTTTCTCATTTTAAAGAGTTTATTGTCATAAGGAGCTTAAAGCTTCACAAGTTCCAAGTTAATTCAACTAACTGTAATATTGCTTCATACCTGATCAAGGATTCGTCCCATCCTATCAAACAAAGTTTTAAGGAAATGCCCTTCAAAGAATCTGGAATCCAAATTGCATTTTTCAAAAGGCTTTGGGGTCCCTGGCCAATCCCATCTCAAACAGATGGCACAGTAATCCCGAAACTGAGGAAATAAGACAAATTCACAATTGCATCGCAATTATATTTAAATTGAGAATATCCTGCATGGATTGTACATTGGTTACAAAGCAGCATATAGTCTTACTTTGCACAATAACAATGTAATCAGTGAAACAATACGTACACTGGCTATTTAGTTTCTAGTTTAATTCAAATATATATATATATAAATGCATACAGCGCACATCTTTTTTTAACTATATACTATATGATTCTCCATATATGTGTGTGATCACATATACACATGCACATATATATGAACAAAACAGATCCTCAATTCAATATTAACTTAATTTGAATTAAACAAACATCTTCACCTGTCTGTGGGCATCTCTGAGGTAGGTGTCATAGCCTGTGCCTTCCACATGGTATGAAGATTTGGCCTCATCGGGGACTAAACAGAGAAAACTACAGACAGGACAAAAGGTATAGGATTATTTTTCTATAACAAAGGAAGTAGTTTACACAACAGACAGTTCAAGTAGCTGGGAGCTGTACCTATTCACTATCTTGTGGACCTCTGTCTTGCCATCTGGCTTTGTGTGATCTGGCGTCTGAGGTGGTGAAACACTCAGCCAATCGGCACTCAACACCCTGTTGTCAGGGGAAAAGTCTGTGAACAATGGATCTTCCTCCAGGTCTCTGAAAGCACAGTCAGAACAAATGATGATTGCTACAACACTTATAAAAAGTGTACAGCTTTACTGTATAAGCTGTTAGGCAGTACATGTAAAGAAAAACGAAAAAATTATCTTCCCCATTTCTGTGCAGGAAATAATAATAATAATTGCTTACACTTATATAGCGCTTTTCTGGACACTCCACTCAAAAGGCTTTACAGGTAATGGGGACTCCCCTCCACCACCACCAATGTGCAGCATCCACCTGGATGATGCGAAGGCAGCCATAGTGTGCCAGAACGCTCACCACACATCAGCTATTAGTGGGGAGGAGAGAAGAGCAATGAAGCCAATTCATAGATGGCGATTATTAGGAGGCCATGATTGGTAAGGGCCAATGGGAAATTTGGCCAGGACGACGGGGTTACACCCCTACTCTTTTTGAGAAACGCCCTAGGATTTTTAATGACCACAGAGAGTTAGGACCTTGGTTTTACGTCTCATCTGAAGGACGGCGCCTATTTACAGTATAGTGTCCCCGTCAGTATACTGGGGCATTAGGACCCACATGGACCACAGGTTGAGTGCCACCTACTAGCCCCACTAACACCTCTTCCAGCAGCAACCTTTCCCAGGAGGTCTCACATCCAGGTACTGACCAGACTCATACCTGCTTAGTTTCAGTGGGCTGCCAGTTGTGAAAGGGCTATTATTGTTGTTTAAAGTGATTGAATTGTCATGGGTCTCCATTTACCAAGAGATCGCCTTCATGACACTACTCAACAACACATGTGAAAACCAACATTTGATACTGAACCAAGCTTGCAATACAGAATTAAAATATACAGTAAAAAACATAAAACAGATGAACATGCAAACTACAAAATGAAAAAAAAAAAATTAGTGCACGAAACAAGGCAGAAGCTCTTACACTGCCCCAGGTATCTGGCCGTTTTCCACAACATCTTTGTCCTCTTGACATGGAGGTTTAAACTCGGCATAGTTCCTTTCTTCTAAATTCCGCAGGACTAGGTTGCTGATTATGTGCTCGTTAGGTTTTTGCAAAAGGTGTTCAAACATTCGTAGAGTCATTATACTGATCTGTGAAACAGAAAAACACAACAAGCCAAAGATTCTAAGTGTTTCATAAGACAACCAAAGCTTTTCAGTTACTTAATGTTCTTCCCGCGTTGTTCCCAACACCAGTAGGCTATTTATATAACCAGTAATAGGTTTATATTACTGGTTATTTATATGTAGGTCTATTTATATAACCTACAACGAAGTTCAATATACCACAAGAAAGAATGAGGACTTTTCTTCTGATATCATAGCATTCATTTTCTTTTACCATCTCAGGTTCTTCTTTTTAATAGTGTAAGTAAATGGGCAAAGAAAAAAAAATCTGCCTGTCAGTTTCTCACCTCGTCTGACAGGTGGTCACAGTGCTCAATGAGCCGATGTCTCAGAGGGTATCTGTTGATGTCACGTAGGGTCTCGGGCTCTCTCTGCTCCCCCAGGATGAAGTAAATAGTCTCCTGCAGCAGAGCCTCTGACGTGACCTGACGAATTATGCGATTCAGAAGAGCCGTGGATGTCAAAATGCCAATCTCTGACCTTTGGAGAAAAACATCTAAATTGTACACAATGCAGCACAAGGCAGAAGTGCTTAACAGAATACAGACATCAGGGCTTAAATATCTCCAATCACCTTTTATCACATTCTTAAGAGCCACCTGCTCAGTAAGCATCGTTAAGATTAAAATCTATTCCTGTGTTCGCTACGGGTTCCACTGTTTTACTCATTTTGCGATTTTGTAATATATCATGTATTAAGCACAGTTGTATAAGGTTTGTCATACAGATTTTTTTTTCATTTCAGGTTTCATTTTTAATGTATTAGAGAAAGAAAAAAATATCATTAAGTACAGGCATTTACACTGCACCCAGATCTTAAATTTCATAGGGATCGGAGTTCTTACAAAGGAGTAACTATTAGTATTGTTCTCCAGTTTTATAAATTTAAATGAAATGTCACTTGATTCGTTTTTTAATTGTTTAGACAGTTGATAAAGTCGATAAAGTATGATATTTTGGATGTACTTGGTTGCAAATGCAGGAAATCCAACAGATTTGCCCTAATAAGAGCAATTTTAGGAGAAAATGAAATGTCTTTTTTGCTGCTACATGAGTCCCTTGTGGCTGCCGTGTTCTGGAATGGGGCACTTACGTCTGCATTAACTGGGGCTCCATGACAGAAACAAGGAATCTCTCACGAACCGCTCTTGCGAGCTTAACAGCAGCCATCTGTCGATTAGAAATAAAAAAAAACATAGATAAGACCTACATGACTTCTTATCCTGACATCACCGTCAATAACACAAGCACATTCTATGAGATGAGCATTAGCAAAAAAGCAGCAGTGCAGAACTTGGGAGATTCTTACGAATGGTGTAAGAGTCTGTGATGTGGTTTAAAGGATTCTGTACAATGGTGGGGAAGCCTGGTTCTTAAAATATCAGGATTCTCTGATTTCATTCCACTTAAGTAATCAATTAAGTGAATACATTTTTGCTAACCTGGCTGCAAATGAACTTTTGTGGAGACTTTGCTCACTTGTGTTTTTGTGCTAGAATTCAGCGGGCTCATGAGGCCCTCTTGTGGCTACTTGAGAAGCCACTGCAGGAACTTAACGTAATAAAAAAACTTGAATATTGAAAAGAAGCAGTTAAAATGATAAAAAAGCACAATCATCCAAATGATTGTATTAACAAATCTTCAACACAATTACAAAATCAATCCATTATTCCTGTTGTTTTTAAGATGATACAAGTATTTGATAGATACTTTATTGATCCCATGAGGGAAATTGCAGTGCAACCACAGCTTAGCACAGTCAACACAGCACAGTGTAATGACATAATACAACAATACCTGCAATACCGTCAGTACAGTCAGTGAGAAGTGCACTAAAAAATAGTTGCTCACAATATAGAATATACAAAAACCAGAACAGTACACAAAAAGTTGCAATGCACATCATAAATATAAAAAAAATAGATTTAAGCAGCGAGTTCAATGTTTAGTTCAAAAACACGTCAATGTCAATGTTGCCCTTGCCCAAACACACAATGGATGAGTTGTACAGTCTTATGGCAGAAAGCAAGAACTGGTACAATTTGGTAATTGTACAGAAATAAAGTATGTAGACAGTATGATTATTTTTATTTTCACTGTTTTCAAAAGGGTCGGCCAGAAAAGAAACAGCAATTTTGTTGAACAGAAATACCTTTTGTGCTTCTTTGATGAGCTGATCACAGTAATCCAGCCATGACAAGAAAGAGATAAGAGCTCGCTTGCCAGGGAATGCTGTAGCATCTTCTTTCAGATTGTATGCATCCAAGCTGTCATAAACATTGGACATGGTATTACTTTTCAACTCTTTTAAAACAATCATGTTGCTTCACTTTAAATATGACATGATTTAAATTCAAATCACTAACCACACTATAACAGAGTACAATGCAGTAAGCTTAAAAATGCAATACTATATGCTTAAGGTTTGTGAGTTTACCTCCACTAACATAAAGGATATAATTGAAATTTTGTATTAAGCATGAAAGGTGACCATGACTGATGGGGAACATGCAAAGTTAGATCTCAAATGTTTATTTTAAACTTAAGTTAGGATATCAGATAAAATTAAGATATCAGCAGTTACCACTGAAAGCAAAGGTAAAAACATTTTGTTTTTTGGAATCATGACTATTTCATGGAACTGCTTTTGTTCAAGGTACAGATAGATCACTTAAGCAAAAATGTTGTCTTTGCAAAAAGACAGAAATACGGGGCCTTGCAAAAGTATCCCCCCCCCCAGAGTTTCCATATTTTATTACTGGTTAACCATCTAATCGAGAAACTTAAAAAAAAGACTTCATATTAAACACATGCACAATGTACACCCAAATGATTAAACAAAACATGCTGATAGAATATTAATAAATTAGATACCTTGAGAAAATTAAAAGATTCTGAACTGCATAACTACTGAATCCCTTTATTAAGACAACTGCAAATCAAGTCAAGGGGAAAAGAATTGTTTAAAACAACAAAATCTGTCTAATGGCCTGTGTGTGTGATCAAAGCAGTTTAACTCGACACTGCGTGTTTCCTCAAACAAATACTGAATTTCAAACTACAACTTACATAATGATATGAAAAATCCTATTATGGAGACCAAGGAACTTTAAAAAGAACAGAGATTAAGTAGCAGAGATCCAGAACTTGAGAAGGTAATTTATCATTTTGAATATAGTAAAGTTCATTATCAAGAAGTGAAATGTGTATCTGGCTGTCTTTATAAACCGATCAGCCAAATGCCGGATGCCAAATGCGAAGGCAACAGTGATTTTGAAAGACTTTATGCCTGAGTAGGAGTCACTGTTCATATACTGAAAATATCTAAGTCCTTACACAAAGACAGAATCTCATATGACATACAGTATACTGCAGACATGAGTTAGAAGGTTTATGATCAAATCAGAGAAAAGGTTAACCTTTTGATTTAAATGCAAATAAATCAGGCAAAAGCCTGGCATAGCACATCAACTAGTCAGCACCATCACAACTGTCAAGAATGAGTGTGGCAGCAACATGTTTTTATTGCGGATGCAGATCATTAGCAAGGGTTCCACAAAACTTGTCACGATTAAAGGAAAACTGCTGGTGAAAGGACAGGTGAATTCTTGAGGAAAATCTGCTTGAGTTGCTAAAATAAGGGTTAAAAAAATTCACATTGCAGCAGTATAATGATCTGAAGGCCAAAGTCAACATAGAACAGTCTGACAAAATAGATTGAATGTCCTTGAGTGGCACAGTTAAAATACTGACTAAAATCAAACTGAAAATTTACTTGTATAGTTAAACTTGGCGATTGCAGTCACTCAATGATTGCATTCCCCAACAAACCTGTCAAACCAGGAACAATTTTATCAGGAAGAATGGACAATTCCATCATCCCACAGCTATTGTGCAGAATGTGCAAAGCTGACAGCAATAACTGCTGCCACCAAGTAGTGACTTGGTGAATTCTTACAGTATGTCATCAACAAAGTTCAATGTATATATAGTCTTGACAGGTTGTGCTGACATTCAATTTCCTCCACACAGACAGTTTTGATCATTACAGTTTTTTATAAAAAAGGTTAATTTGACAAAAAAATACATTGATTGCAATATTACTCGAAGGAGATTAATACATTTGCATGATTCTGTATGTAAATCCTCATAGAATTGTTAGTTTCAGTTCTCTGTGAGCAAGAAGCCGTCAAGGACATCATTCCCAATAAAACACTTGTCTCTCAATCTGTGGTTTGACCTTCAGTAGCTAGAATGGGTTTTCTACAGAGGATATCAGAAGAGCTTGTTTTGTCGTTCAAATTCTTAATTGCTTTGACAGAAATATTTGACAGAGTAGACCATTCACACTTATTACTGTCCCTGTCTACAGATTTGGCTAGATGCCATAGCAGAGGTAAATGTACTGACCTGTTCTGACCAGCTTCAGAAATGCAGTGCCTTCCAAAACTATTCAGAACCTTGCGCAGTGCATTTTGTCACACTAATGTGTCATGAAACTTTAAAGCTGCAATTAATATTTGCTATATAAACAAAGTGCTCCATACATTCAAAGCAAACAAAAACAATAGATAATTAATTTAAAAGTCCAATGGAAAAGTCAAGATTACAGAAATATTCAAACCCTTTGCTATGGCAAACAAATTTATTTAAACGAACAAAATGAATTTAAAGGGGAACTGCAATTCCAATTTCTCAGACCAGCTATTAAATCTCAGTACCAAAAATTAATTGACAGTATTGCATAATTTGACAAATTTCAAATTAAGCCTAAAATCCAGAACCTTTTGAAAGTACTGTATTGCTTACAACTACATTGTTGTATAGTTAACCAGTGAAAAATCACTGGTCTTGCTATGGCTGAAAGCAAGAGTTTGCATGAACTGCAATGTGAAAGTGGCCCTTCCAGCTCACTAGTCACTGTAAGCAAATGAGAAACATGGCCTCCTAACAACATTAATCCTTTACTATATATACTATGCTACATATTTACTATACAGTTGTATGCAAAAGTTTGGACACCCCTGGCCAAATTACATGCTTTGTTGATTTTCTAAGTGAAAAGAAGTTAACACAACCTCGGCAGCGAACAAACATAAACTTGACATATTTCAGATAATTTTAATGCACAGTTACTATTTATTTGCTGAATTTAACAGATTGAAAAAAATAAAACAGTAAATCTGGCACATGCAAAAGTTTCAGTCAGTACTTAGTAACACTCCCTTTGGCAGAAATCACAGCCTCCAAGTGTTTCTTGTAAACAGCTAACATTCTTTCTATTCTTGTTTTAGGAATTTGTTTCCCACTCTTCCTTGCAGAACGCTCCTAGTCCAGAAATACTCTTAGGTCATCTTGCATGCACTGCATGTTTGAGATCTACGCACAGATTTTCAATAATATTCAAGTCTGGGGACTGTGAAGGCCATTCCAAAACCTTAATCTTTCATTTCTTGAAGTAGTTCATGGCTGATTTTGAGGTATGTTTTGGGTTGTAACGTCTAACCTCTTTTCAGCTTTAGTTTCTTCACTGACTGTGGGACATTAGCTTCCAGGATTTGTTGATAGTAGAATCCATTCTTCCCTCTACCTGCACAATATTTCCTGTGCCACTGGCTGCCACACAACCCCAAAGCATAATAGATCCACCCCCTGCTTGACAGTTGGCATGGTGTTCTTTTCTTCAAATGCTTCTCTGTTTTTTATCTAAATGTACCTTTGGTGATTGTAGCCAAAGAGTTCAATTTTTACTTCATCAAACCGCAGCACTTGGTTCCAAAACACTTCTGGCTTATCTAAGTGTTGTGTTGCATACTTCAGACGTTGACTTTTATGATGAGATTGCAGGTAATGTTACCTTCTATTGACTCTTCCATGCAGATTATGATTGTACAAGCAACGCTGCACAGTGGACCAGTGCACCACTACTCCTGTGCCAGCTAAACCTTCTTGCAGGTACTTTGCAGTGATATGGGGGTTTTGCTTTGCATTCCTGACCAGTCTACAAGCAAATCTATCGGAGATTTTTCTTGGTTTTCCAGATCGTCTTGACTTAAACAGCTCTCCTTAACTTCCATTTCTTAATGACATTTCGGACAGCGGAAATTCCAAGCAGGAAGCGATTAGATATCTTTTTATAGCTATCCCCTGCTTTGTAAGAGTCAATCATCTTTATTTTCTGATCCTCGGTCAGCTGCTTAGAGGAGCCCATGGTTGTTGAGTGTAAGCACAACACCCTGAGAGGTTCGAAGAGCCAGAGAATTTATAAAGCTCTGGAATTGTCATCACCTGACTTACATTAAGGCCTAACGAGTCAATTAAGTTCTGAGACCTTACAAAAAAATAACACTAGTGGATCAACTGGAAGGGTACCTGACCTTTTGCACATTACCGTTTTATTTTTTTCAAACTGTTAAATTGAGCAAATAAATAGTAACTGTGAATTAATATTTGCAGAAACATTTCAAGTTTAAGTTTGTTTGCTGCAGAGGTTGTGTTAACTTCTTTTTACTTAGAAAATCAACAAAACACGTAATTTGGCCAGGGGTGCCAAAACTTTTGCATAAAACTGTATATACTATATACCCGGGTATACATTTTAAACTACACCACACTGTCAAGAATTTAGCTGTTCAGAACATAGAGGTTGCACAGAAAATAGAGGATCGAATCAGCAGAAAGTCAAAGTGTTTCCTTTTCAAAGGGATATTCAACTAGCCAAGAGATGGATAATAAGCATAGTCACTGATGTTGGTCCCATCGACCACGTACGATCGAATAAGTACAAGCTGTGCAGAAGACATTTCACCCTAGAAATGTTCAAATGTAACATTAACGAGTGGTATTTGCCAGTTAACCTTCTCGAAGTCGATGTTGAATTCAACTGCACTCATACAAATCAGTTGTTAGACAACAGGCCGGGCACAATGTGCAAACCTGCTAGAGACTTATACAAAAAGACTTGCGGCTGTAATTTCTATCACAGATGCTTCCACCAAATGCTGAGAACATGGCTCTGCATACTCAGCAATCAACATATTTCAGTTTCTCTCCTTAGTTTTTGGTGGCAATTACTATAACTTAACTTATTCTTACAAGTCTTCAGTGTCAGCAGTCAGGTTTTGAATAAAACTGTTGCATCATTTTAGAATTCTAAAAAACAAGACACCAAAGGAAGGGTCTGAATACTTTCTCAAGGCACTATGTATATTATGAAACAGAAAGAACTGATATTTCTGGTCACCACCTGTTGCAAATGCAACAGATATTTCACATTTAGACCAAAGGCCACAGCCAAAAGTAACCTTATCCTTACCCTTATCCGCTGATGCAATTAACTTTTGGCAATCAAAAACTTAAAACACACAGAAAACACCTGCAATCTTTCCCTCCACTCTTGCTATGGCAGAGCCACAAAACAACAACAATTGTAGACTACTTTTTGTCAAAAAAAAACATTTTAATTTATTTTGGTTCAGTGACAGTCAACTAAGGGAAAAGCTGTTTTGTTTCCCTGATTTAACAGCTCACTAGTCTGAAAAGTACTAATATGCAAAAAGAAATGTTTTCTCTGATTATACTGAAACATAATCAAACTGTTAATGTCAACTATAATTCTAAGGGGGGAGGGAATAGATTAAATTTTAATGGGTGCAATCTAGGGTCTCCAAGTCAATGCAGCTTGGCACATACAGTGATTCTGAAGCCCAAAATCTTAACTGTCTAATAATTATTAACGGTAACTTCTTAGTTAGCTAAACAGATCAAATTATGTTCTCAGGGGGACATATTTGAAAACTGCACAATTGAGTTTGTCACCTCAGTTCTAGATATCAGTCCGATAAAAATACATGTTTGAGGAGAAGGACTAGTTAAGGCTTTTTGGAACTGCACAATGTGACTCAAAAAGCATTGCTGTGAAATTTGAGAGGCACTGTCCTACATCACAACACAGATGAACTTACCCCCAGTTCACTGATTCGACAGTCTCAATGTCCAAGGGATCCATAGACTGTGGAAGAGCTCTGTAGAACACAGTCAGTCTCTCTGTCAGCAGTTCACACAGGGCTGTGTTCTCAGTCAGACACTTAGCAGCTGCAGGTTCAGGTAGGCTTACTAACAACATAAGACCTTCACAAGCCTTCACTACTATCCGACCATCCTGCACAGACCACAGTAAAAGGAGTTAGTGCCGAATACACCCAACATTGTGTGGGTTGTTAATCATGTCTTCTTAGCCACACCTCCTGATTTTTAATATGCACTTAAATATTTAGTATAAATCAGAATATTAGAATTTTATGAATAAATATATTAGTACATCTAAGACTGTGAGACTTCTGTACATATCTCAGCAAACTAACAATAATCTTCAGGCTGCAAGTCTATTGAGTGAGTATACTGAAATACCATTCTTTTCCAAGATGACATTTAAGTGCATTTCAATGAACATGAACCAAACGAAAAACTTGGCAAGAAATCTACAAATCACTCACTGGACTCTTGGTGAGATTGAGTAGGGAGTTGACCAGATTGTAGTTGTGGCTGGAGTGGTTTGCTGCAGCCTCTCCCTCGGAAGACATACCGAGCTGGTTCAGTGAAACAGAAACCTCGTCAGCCTGCTGTGAAAGTTCTGTTTCTCTGGCGCTCTCTGCTCCCGTCTTGTCTGCAGCCAGAGGCTGACCAGTATCTGGAGTGGAGGCATTTTTCGCTTTTTCGGGATTACCCAAAAAGCTTTCGGATGCGGGCCCTCTGGCAAAAGATGCTTTTGACTTGTTCTGTTGACAGACATAAGAAGAAACTGAAAAAACAGCTACATTGTTCAAAATTGCATTCAAATCTCTGTTTACTTCATGATATATTTTAAAAACAACAATATTAAGAAGCTAAGTGCCTTTTCATTTGATGGTTACTGGCAGATATTAAATGCCTTCCACTGCTACAGCTATTATGAATCTGTTAATGGTGATTAATGACAAAATCAACTCAATGTTTTCAAAGCCCATACTAGCACAGCCCAAGGTTAATGTACTATGTGCAAGCACAAACGAGTGCATTCAACACAAATGGTGAACCAAACTATCCTGCAGGAAAACTATTGCATCACTCAACTGGGTGGGATGGAGAGCAGGGAACTGATGAGATTTAAATGTGTTTGGAGTAGGTTGCAATTAAGCAAAGGGACTGAAGTATGCGGTTTCTAAAGTAAAAATAAAAACACTGCTTTACTATAGCTTGTAACCGTAAAGTACTATAAGGTGCAGTTATTTTACCTAAGCACTAATATGGCACTTCATGAAAAACATGTCCTGTATTGCAGCATTAACCATAAGGCAACATCAAAATAAAGATATGATTACAAAATAATATTTTAAACCAAACTTTTAGGATGTAGGCTCCTGGAGAGCAAAGCAAAGAGATCCCAACATATCGTCACCTACTCTGCGACACAAGCACATTTTATAAACAAGACACAGTCCTAAAGAAACATACCATAAATATTTTCATGTTCCAGAAAAAGACACAATACATTTAAAAACAGAATTTAACATTCAAGCCACTCGTCATTCAACACATCTCATGCTACACAGCACTTATCTGGAGGCTCAATGATGACTGGAGAGGTGTACCCCTCCCCGACAGCACTGTAAGCCTATAAGTGTCTAGGAAACCATGGGGATTCCTAGCTGACTAATCCCACCCTACACTGGGTGGTGTTCAACCAATTGCCAGTCACAGTCAGCTAGTGACAAGTTCGGACCTGTGATCACAGAGCTTAGACTCTTCTTGGATAAGCACCTTTATCAGTTATGCCACTCGGGGCCATTTTCTGATGCACTTTTCAAATTATTTACAGCAGAATTAAAAGGACTTCTAGAATATCCATTATTCTGAAATTTCCTGCAATAAAAAGCCTTATATATTAAATATGAATTAAAACTTAAAATTTGGTGATTATTTTATTAAAGCAGTGCTTAGCACTCAGAAGAGGGAGAGTCTGACTTCCTATTGATATGTTGATATGATGTTGTCTTCTCATCTTCAAAACCTCTGCATCATTCTTGGAAAAGCTGAATTACTAAACAAAAAGTATCATATTCAGCTGACAAGTCATGCATTCAGTGAAGAATGGATTGTTCTGAATTGACAGGGCTTTATAATTGCAAGCTGTTGCTAATGCTGTGCAAATAACAAGCAATACACACACTAGATAGTGTTTTATTTTCTTATCATGCATCTACATGTTTCTCACAAGTTACCCAGGAATTTTCTGCAGCTTGGCTCATTTCCTGCCTGCTGCATAAACAATGGAGTACTGGATCTTGGCAAATCTGGCAAACAAGGTTGACATTAGAGAATAAAGTGAAAAAAACTGAAAAACTGGTACTCAGACACTTGATCACAATGGTTAAATATACATACCTCTAGGAAAAAATTGACAAGATAGGGGTCCTGCTTTAGTTTTGCACACACAATACACAGAAACTGTATTTCTTCATTTTCTGTTGGGGCTGCAAGAACTTCTCCACAAAGTCGGACTAATTTCTGGGGAGAAAGAAAATAAATGCCTCGCAATAAGTTATAAAGAGTACTTCCAACTATGACCTAGAAGGTTTTTTGGTAATTTGATTAATTTATTGATGAATTTGTATCATGTGATTTACTATTGCCGTATCTTGTTAGGTTGAGATTTGTTATTAGGACACTAGAAGGTCTCCTCTCTCTTCCAGATTATTCTGCCCATCTATATAGTTTGGATTTTATCATCTGATGGATCTAACGATCTCTTATAAGTGCTTCTTAAAAGAAGCTGGTTTCAGCTTTGACAATATGGTTAGGCAGCATGTACTGTACCTGGTCACTCTAGTGTAAAGTTTTGGGAACATTCTCAAAATAAAAAAAACTTAGCTTCCTATGCTATATGAAGGAGTTTTCACCTTTATCAATTTCTTTCACTCATCAGTTAACTACCACGATCTTCTATAGTTTATAGCATTAAAGTGTTCTTTTGTTGAATTTGTCTTTAAAGGATTATTTCTAATGTGTCTCAGTTCTCTTAAAAATATGCACTGGAGGCAAAATGTCTAGACAACATTGTTCTTAGCTTACTGCCAGCATTGTTTAAATCTAAGAAAAGTTAATTAGATTTTCATACATGCTCACCTGCACAGGTCTGTGAACGTTTATATGTGGAAGAAGAGGTTGGCGAATCCTTCCTAATAGCTTGGTATAGAACCCCAAGACCTGCTGTTTCATTCCAGGAGGGCACTGAAAAAGAAGCATTGTTCAGGAATGAGATACTCAGACCGAGAATTGCTGTTTTGCTAATTTTCCTGAAAACACAATGCATATGTGTTGCATGTTGCTAAAGAAGCCAAAATTAGTTAACTAATTTTGTTGTAAACTAAAAATAATTGCACAGCATGGTTGCACAATTATAATCTGAAAAAAGGAAAATAGTATCAAGGATGGAAAAAGGCCAAAAACAACCTCTTGATAGACATCCATTTCATTACTGTAAAATAGATGAAAGCAATACAGTTACTCCATGAGCTGAACTGATTTCTGCTCGACTTCAAAACAATTATCTCCAGGAGGTGTGTCTACATTTTACAAAACACAAAAACCGCTCAAGGCAGAAGACTGACTTGCCCCTATCAGGTCTATAAACTTGATAATTCAACACAACTGCACTGAAGTCTTTAAAAACAGTCCAAACATATGCACCTTAAAATAACATTCTGGAATGATCCAAATTTTAAGTTTCCTAACATTAAGCACAGCTGTATCACACATGGGTGTTCTTTTATAGAACTTTTATACATAAATAATGTGAATCCTACTTTTTTTATCTTAATAGATGTATTATATAAGATTAAGGTTTAAGACAGATGAAACCATCCAACAGGTAAGATGATTGTTCTGCAACAAGTTTGCACATTTAAGCACACTTTATCACATTCAATTTGGATGTATCACTTCTATTTAATATGGTAAACATTTCTCTATATGAGATTTCTTTTTCATGTTCTGTACTAGTTCTGTTCTATTTGTTGTCGATTTGTCTTAAGTACTGATTTAGGTTTTTTTTTTGTAGATCTTCAAACAGCAAATATTTCTAAACAAGACAAATTACTACCAAGCCCTGATAATTCTTAAACTCTTAAAATAAGAGAAACATTATCCTTAACTACAATCATATTAATGGCTCTTGTTTGGATGGTTTAAGGTGTGGATTAAATTATTTTCTGGTACAATGCAAAGCCAACTAGTGCGGAGTACTGCAGTTGATTACAAACAGGACTTTAAATATAATATTGCTCATGCAAAAAGACCACTGAAGCATTTCCTTCATGATTATTTGGTTATATTTCCTTTCATGCACTTATGGTTTGAGCTCATGTCTTGCATCCTTTAAGTCTAATGGTCTAATCTTAAGTCTAATGAGCTTGTTTGCATCACTTAAAATAAAACTTCAATCTAATATTACCAAACACATGAAACACAGTGGACAGTACACCCCCAATTAACAAGTCACTTTTTCCTTACATCAGCTTTTCCCAGAGTGTAGAGTGTCTCAAGGATCTTGTGGTGGAGGAGATACTCCATGCATGGGCCAGTCTCTCCAAACTCCCGCTCATTCTCCTCCTGAATCAAAATGTCTAGCATCTGCTCCAGGTGTGAAGGGATGTTTGTATCTGTCACTGGGGCTTTGTCGTCTGAAAAACAGAGTTGCTGACATTACAAAGAAACTTTACGGACTCACTAAAGTTGATCCACAGTTAAGATTAGTGAAAAACTCAAGTCTTTTCTTGGAAAACAATATCACACCACAGCTAATATCCAGTAACAAACTGAAGATCAGTGGCCTCCTAACGCCTTTTATTCTACCTGATTTGATCTTGATTTACACATCAAGAACAACTTGAGGGTATTCAGGTAAAGCAATAAAAACAGTGGTTTTGAAACAAATTGCAATGCTTTCCTATTATGACACCTCTTACTACATTATAATTCTCAGTACCTTTTGTATAAAAAAAGTCATTGGGAACTGGTACTTTAAACCAAAATGCCCCACCTGATGTCTCTATGTAGTAGTGTGTGATAGCTTTCCAATGATACACAAAATCCTCCTGCAATGGAAGGGAAGGTGCCAGCTGCAAAACAAACAAAAACAACAATCAAATTTCCTTTCAAAGCAGATAACTTGCTTTTAGAGGTCAATATCGACCAAACACAATTATCAGTCTTCTGTCTGGTTCCGTTCTCTAGAGAACAGTAAGGGTCTAAATAGTATTTTATAGCATTTGTGTAACACTGAAAAGAGTCCTGTACTGTACAGGACAGTTGAGTGGTTATTTTCAATGTTATACAAATGAGCCAAAATCTCAAATGTTATTCCTGTAGTTGACAAAATTCTATTAAATCCATTATCCCCTTGGGGAAATATGTTTTGTGACAGAGACCAGCACAACAATACAACAAAAGCACACATCACCAACAAAGAGGTACAAATATTTCAGGAGATAAAATAATGCCTTCATTATTTAAGAATGAGATCGCAGAGGGGATGAATGATTCTTAAGTCTATTTCCATTATACCTTGGGGTGAACAGGTGTCTCCACTGGGTGTGACGTAAATTCACAAAGGAGGGGGTTTGCCATGCACTGTACAAGGCTGTTGTCCTTCTTTAGAACCACATGTTTTCAAAGTGTTAAATGGTAATAGCATAGGAATACTTACATTCATTATATAAAATAATAATTTTAACACAATTACAAAATGGTCATCAGTAAGGACATAAACTATAGAATTCTGAAGACTTAATTAGAATCTTGTTAGGTTAATGATAAAGAAATACAATAAATTAATGATTTCCCTTTGTAGTTAATATGGTTATAAAGACATTCACTAGTTTAGGGACCAGCTTTAATTAATTCGAAAAGGTAAGTGTGGCACTTGTGACAGTAACAGAGTCTAAATTTAAAGATTCTTTAGGGGAAAAGAAGAGGAAAACATTTGGCAAAGGCATATCCATCCTTCCATTTTCTAATTGTTTTATCCAATACAGGATTGTGGGAGAGCCGGAGCCTCCTATCCCAGCCTGCAACAGGCACAAGGCAGGATACACCCTGGATGGGATGCCAGACAGACACAAACATGCAGACACTCACATCAGGGCCAATTTTCCCAGAAGCTAAATTAGCCTACCAGTATGTCTTTGAAAACCTGAGCTCGTGGAGGAAATACATGTGAACATGGGGAAAACATACAAACTCCACGCAGATAGCACCCCAGGAACTGAATCCGGATCCCCAGTGCTATGAGGCAGCAATGCTAACTGTGTGTGCTACTATGCTGCCCCCAGGCATATCCAACATTTTTTACTTAGAATATTTTGCATTCAGTATTTACAATATATTTCTGTAGGGGTACTATGTGTGTACAGAAATATTTGGGAGCAACAGTCCTACGTGCATGCACCCCACACTACAATTCGTTTAACATCTATTATTAGAAATTATCAATCTAACATTTGTTTTCATAACTTCACATAACTTTAAAGTTTTTGTTTGCAAATGCAATTTCATGGGACACAGAATAGGAGCAATAGGACAACGCAAACTTGACCTTTGTACTGACAACATTAATGCCTATCATGAGGTCATGTAAGCATATCACAGTACATACTGCGAGCCAACCCTCTCTCTGCTTATTTTGAAAGTGCATGTTGATTAATTCAACCTGTAAACTTTAATATATAGGCCTAACCTGCATACTGCAGTACCCACATAGGCAAGAATAATCCCTGATCCCTGATAGTAATGTTTAAGGCTAAAAAACAGAAAATAAATTCCACTGGCAAGTTAATAAATTCTCAGAAAATGTCAACATACAACTACCTAACTTACAAGTTAATCTCCACCACAAAATGTTAGGTTGTACATTGTACAAACTGAGTATAAATCAAACTTAATTTTATATCCCATTCAAAAAGAAAATAAAGCTATTAACTTTTCTTCTTAACTGCTTTACAAGACTGAGAAGAAAAGCATTATGTACTGAGACCTTTTTGCTTTTTCTACAACAGCACAGCCCTTTATCATAATAATCAAGGGAAAAGCGAAGGACCCACACCACCTGTCCCCATGCTGTCCAGACGTGTTCCTGTGCTGTTATCAACATAACAGCCACAACAAACTGTTTTTCACAAAAGAAATGAGTGAAGCATTTGCAAAATATAGCCAACGTAATTTTTTCACATATTTCAAGGATTCTCTGGCATATCTCATCAACCTCTTCCTCTGATTGGTAGCTAACAATAGTTTTATTTTTTAATTTGCAGAATAAAATCCTGAGACAAACACAATTTTGTAGAGCAAAACTTAAAGTACAGGACAAGAGTATATTTTTTATTGGATCTCCGTATCAGGCTTTGTGTTTAACACGTTTTGCGCACAACTGGTAGTAGGAAACACCAATTCTCATTTACAATGGGGGTCTTTTATACAGCACAGACTTTGTGATCACATTTAATGGACTCAGCAATCTGAGTTATGTACCTTGCTCAAGGGTACAGTAGTTGTGTCCTAATGGGGATCTGAATCCACAGTCCTCTACTCAGTAGGCCACTACTCTATTGTCTTAAAGATAGATTATCATAATTTCTCTAAAAAATTATATACTATTCCACTATCTCCCAGTTTTGTTGTGGAACTGCAGCTGTGCCTTCTGGTTTTTATACTTAATTTGATTAATTGCTTGGTTTTAGCTGTTTTTGCACTCAGAACTTTTTTCATAACTTATTTTAGGGCATTATTTCCAAGAAACGGATCTATGGTTTAACTTGTTTTAAAATTCTACCACAACTTTCTAAATAACTCTTAATTTATCATCAAATAATTACGTCTTTGTCACACTCCTATGATAAGGATACACTGTAATTAATAGACCTATTGATTACACTTCATCTGGTTATACTATAATAAATCTAAAGCGCAGGGGATCTGAAATCTTACATCTGGTACCAAGTTCATGTACATGTACAACCATGTCGTGCTATTAAACAGCCGCAACTATTAAAAAAATTGTTCGACGAAAGGTTGGATATAATTAAGAATGAGTTCAGCTGTAAGTAAAGTTAGATTACAATGAGTTTCACCAACACCAAGACTAGGAATCCATGAACATATTAACATGACCGAGAAATCAGGCAGCCTTCCAGGACTGTATGCAATCGTCTGTTTTCTTTATATTCTGAAACCAAAATGCCGTAGATTGCATTAAACTTCAAGTTTCACACGCATCTAGTAAAACTCTTCAGCTACTTTTGTCAAATAATTTATTTTGGCAGCTAGGGCTTATTTTTCAAACATCGTGTATCAGTTTGAAACAAAAAACAAAACAACTGCTTCACGAATCGAAGCAATGCTAACTGATAAAGCAACAAATTAAAATATATGTATTAAATATAATACGGATAACGTGCATTAAACATTAAAAATGTAACATTAAAAATGTTAAACACTGAAGAAACTAGTCTTTACAGCAAAGTAGATATAAGGTTCACAAACTGTGAACTGCGAAAAATTCAGACTATACACTTACTAAATGTTGTAGTCCTGATGACAGAAAGGTCTAGTGCTAAATTTCCTTAAGGCTGATTAAGGCTAATTGTCCTCGCTGAAATGTAAGCAATGCAATTATTGCTATTCATTATAATTTGTATTAGAACCATAACGGGCCTACTATTTAGATACAGGGTTACTAACAGGAAATTATTCATCCTGTCATCAACTAAAAGGATTATAGGAAATAGACGGAAATATGTTCATAAAACTCATTTAAATGCATATTAAATAACAGAAAAGGAAGCACATACTAAAACCTTAACAATTCCCTGCTCTCGTTTAGCGACATTATACACCATTAATATATTAGGCCTATTTCTCTCCGATCTCAATTGTCTCCCAAGCCGTTCTGTCTGCGTCTCCTTACGGCTTGATCAAGTGCACACTCACCGCCTCGACTGCATGCTGGAGGATGGAGGTGAATTTGGAGAACATTTTGTTTTTGGACTGAAGCAGTTTCTCCCGAGAAGACCTAGAGAATTCCTCTATCTTCTTCCTATTGTTGCCGCCGCGATCCAGATTGGAAGTTTCATAAAAGTACCTTAACCCACTAAAAAAATAAAGACAATGAAAACCCCAAGACTGACACACAGCCTCAGCTGGATACACTGTAAACAGTCGACACACACAACACCTAGGACACGGTGGCACTTCGGGATTCAGAGCATCTTCTGAACGCTAGAGGGAGCCTGCAAAAAAGGGGAACTCTATCGCCACCTCTAGGTTAAGTAACCTTTCAAATTTGCTTGTTGTATCGGACTGGTATAGCTTGTTTTACTTCAAAGATTTTTGAGTCTCTAACTTTTTACAACAGTGTTATTGCATGAAGCCCAGCTTACGCACCTCATTTGGTATAGAATTTTGTTCAACTAATCTAATTTTTCATGAGTGTAACGTAGAAATGTGTTTGCAATGTCAACAATTTAGAGCATTCAAAGAAGATTAAACCGAAATGAATGATGTTTAATGTCATTCTTAATAATAAAGAATTAAAAGCTTAACCAAAGATCAACTGTACTTCCTAAGATAACTGTACCATTAGAGCATAATCTATTTATTCTTACAGAACTCCTTCTGAACTGTAATATATCCTTTTTGTGTAGTGTTTTGTGTAAAGTTTATTAAATATCTTCATTTTTCATTTTGGCAGAGTATGGTGTGAACAGTGGCCTTCTGTTCTGACTCACTTGTAAGTTTGTGCTTTTCTGAAGTGATTAATTAAGTAACAATAGTGACCATATGGAACACTTACATATTGAACCTTTGTTCACAACAGCATGTAAAATCTGTTTCATTAAGTGTTTCTATTAAAGGTCTGCATACATTTTAATCTGTGAATATAACAGTTTGGTGAGAAGTAACAAAATTGATAGTCTTTATGATAAATTGATTTAATCATAAAGTCAGTATAGAGAATATAGACTAGGTTTGTGAATCACTGTCTATTTCAAGTTTGTAATATTCTTTTTCGTAGGATTTTGCTAATTCAATAGTCTGCTCCTTTCATCCATGCATTTACATAGAAGAGCTCCATTAAATGTGATCACATCTCATAAAACCAAAGCTCAGCTATTCTATTATCGTGCTGTTTTTTCCCCTGGCCATGATTGCATTCTGCAACTGGAACATGCAAGAAAAGGTATTTGTCTAGATTCTGTTTCAGCTTAATTTTGTTCATCTGACGTCAAACAGTTGGGGAATTTGTTCCTGTTAAAAGTGATTAACCTATATTTCAAGCATTCATTGAGGTGTAACACTACTTTAAAAATCACCCTTAAAAATTATGTTTTATCACTTAAAAAATGAATATGAGTACTAAGGCAAATGTGTTAAATTCTAAGTGATATAGGAAGTTTCAGGCAAAGGGCAAGTCTAAAGAAAACAAGGACAACAACTGGTTCCTCCTAAGTTGCACTTAGGGATGTTATGTTACAAAATGTTCCACGGAAGGCCTCTTAAAGGGTGCTGGGACTGTGGGCACTAGAATTTAATAGTAAAAAAGGGACACTTTTTTATACAAAGAGTTGTGGGAGTATGGAGCACGCTAGCCAGCTAAGTTATGTTATCAAAGCCTACAAGCTAAAGCTGAAAACCTAACTGCTGGAATCATAATGGCTGTAACTCCAGACTCACATTGTTTCCACATACAGTATCTGCACTAATGATCCTCAGCACTTGGAAAGAGTAGCTCCCTCATTTGTAAATTGCTCTGCTTCTAGACACATCCACTTATCATTTCCTCCACGTTATTATTTTTATCTTGATGTATGGTAGGTTTTGGACAGCATGATGGTTTAACATGTGTGTTCATGCTGCTGTACAATTTTGTGGGGTCGGTTCTGAAATGGAGGTGCCTTCCGTGTGGAGTTTGGGTGTCCTTCCTGTGTATGTGTTTGCATGCTCTGAGATGAACTGGAAGGTCAGCCAATGCATAGCCCTGCCTTACGTTTCGTGTCTCTGGAGTTAAACTCTTGCTCATCAAGACTTTTAAGAATAATGTGGTTAGTCCAAAGAGACAGATATTGTATGTTTGTAATTAATTATATTTTGTTTGTTTTGTTATCCATTTCATTTATCACCCAGTATGTTGATAATGTGTATGCAACCCTCTCTGAATAAGGAAAACTGCAAAAGACGTACTGTAGCACTTATTAATGAAGTAACACTTGAACTGTTGCTTTAAAGATCAATTCTGCAATACATCTATTATCCACCAAAATAGACGTAACACTGAATTCTTAAGGACTTGAGGCTGCCGCATGATAATAGACAGCAAGTTTAGACTAACTTAGTGCAAGAAGAATCCAGCGTCTGAACTAATTACTCTGGACTTATCAGACTGGCAGACTGTGACAGGCAGATTGAGTGTGCATGGCAGATAAGGAGCAGCTCCAAACTGGCAGGAGTAAAATGTTGACAGTGCTGGAGCTTTAATTATGGACATGAGGTCAGCAGATCACCATTGTCAGTGTAGCTTCCTTGTCTTTTAAGAGTTGTGGGTTCTTATCTGTCCTTGCTGTGGGCTCTAGCTGTCACTTTCCTTTTCAGAACTTGCTTTGTGCTACCCCCCATCACAGTGAGCTTGCATTTAATTCGGACAAAAAAAACAGTATTACATTTTAATCTGAAGCACTCAATATCTGATCACATGAAGCCAGGATCTTGATATTAATGTGTGGAGTTCCCTCCACTTTGGTGTTTCTAGTTGAATCCATATATTTGCTGTAAACAAAGATGGGAATTAGCCACATAATGATATGATATTGGTCAAAACTTCCAATCTTACGTTAAGAATCTTAAATATGACATGGTATAGTTGCAAAAACAACATAATGGAAACTTAACTTGCTTTTTAGACCTGGCAAGTCATTAAATGAGAGACAGTCTGGGGAGGATAGAACTAAAACTGCCTCATTCCAGCATCTAAGTCAACGTTGTGAATGATTTGCTTGTTGTATCTTACTCAGGAGTACTCAATGCTCCTTGATCTTAGTGCAGCTTTTGATGCACTAAATCACTCAGTGTTACTCATTTTCAGACAATCTTGACTATCAATGGTATTGTTTTTTAAATGGTTCTGCTCATATCTGACTGGCCAGAAGGATTTTATTTCTCTTGGTCTTCATAAACCCCCCTCAGCCCCAGTCCTTACAGTGTGCTGCAGGGTTCAGTCTTGGGTCCATTACTTTTAATTATTTATATGCTTCCCCTCAGTCATGTAAAACACAAACAAGATCTTCAGTTTCATTGTTATGCAGATAATACTCAGATTTATGTCAAAACCTTTTCCCCCTCACATCTCCTGCCTCTGTCATTTATCTCTTGTCTGCATGACATCAGTCTCTGTTTGACATCAAACTCCATGAAGCTAAATAGTGACAGAACAGAAGATTTTCTAGTGTCACCTTGAAAGGCTGGAGAGCTTCACAGTAATGGCGTCAGCTGTAGTCATGAATCATGGTGTTGTACTTAATGCTCTTATGTCTTTTGAGCCCCATGTGAAAAAATTAAGACGTCTTTTTTCATCATTAGAAATAATGCCAGCATTAGGCGATTTCTATCGATGTCCAGTGCTGAATGCTTGATTTACGTATTTATAACATCAAAGCTCGATGCATGCAACCCTTTACTCCTTGGGCTCCCTAACACTCTTCTCAGTAAGTTGCAATATGTCCAAAACTCTGTAGCTAGACTTCTAACTCAGACCAGACCCTGGCAGTGTATCAGTCGTACACTTAAATCTCTACATTAGGTGCCTAAAGTAACGTATTCAATATACGATATTGTTAATGACTTTTAAGGCTCTAAATAATCTGGCTTCATCATAATGTACATCTTAGAACTCCTTCATGTTTACCCTCCTTCCCGTAGGCTCCATTCAGTTGAGGATGGATTGCCTTACGATTTATCCTGTCTGTTCTTGTTTAATTTTATTTACTTTTATGTTATTTTCTTTCTCTTTTTCTTCCTTATAACTATGTACAAGGTCCTCGGGTTTGGCGGTTAATAAATATTGTTGTTAAATATAAACTGATGACATCTGGATGAAACCTTACTTTTCACATTTAATAAATGTGTCATTAAAATAAAGGTAAATATTTCATGATGTACACTTTAATTGAAAAAGAACGCTAAATTTCTCAGCCCTTGAAGACTTAGCATTTACGAATTCGGTATTTACATTTCTGTCCAGTGCCACAAGATGGAGCTATAGAACGTCTTTTGACCGAGCGGTGTCTCAAGGATAGATTTCAAGTTTCAAGTTTCAAGTTTCAAGTTTATTGTCATTAAACTCATATACATGGTATATGGTATAACGAAATGCTATTTAGCTAGCTCTCGGACATAAGTAGTACAAAGAGAAAAACAACAACAACAACAACAACA